GGGGTCTTTTCACTGCCGGCCCCTTCTTTTCCAATTCCAACACAACTCACAACAATAGCACTCATTTCGTTCACATCCAGAAATAAACAACATTAAAAGCTAGCTTTGAATGTCGCATATTTAATACAACTAGAACTTCTGTAGTATCCTCATCCTGTTTCATCGTACACCTTCACCACCCCCTTCCTGCAGCTTCTCTTTTTCCTGCAACACGACTAACTCGCGCAGAAAAGCGTCGTCCGCAGACCCGCCAGAGAAAGCGGTTTTCTTCTTGACTTTCCTTGTCCCGTCAGCGACTTCTGTCAATTTCGCTTGCAACTGTTTCTCGACATCAGTTTTCTTGATCTTTTGTGTTGTCCAGAGCTTACGCAGACCAGAAAACTTCGGATCTGCTTGCACTTTGGTAAAAACAGCACTGCCAAGATTGTCATTCGTAGAAGGTTTGCTGAGAGCAAGTGGCTTTTTGCTTTCTTTAGAGCAGCTCACCCTAAAAATACATTTCGAGGTCGTCCATCCTGAGACCACCGCTTTCGTGGTCCCCTTGCAAGAAACATCTCTAAAAAGTAAGGTGCTTCCGAAGACAGAGAGAGATGGATTTGCAGGGGAAGCCTTAATTTCTGCTGCAGCTGCGTTAGCATATTCTTCCAACAAGGTACGTTTTCCGGCACCTGCCTCTCTTGCAGCGGCGCCTAAGCCAAAGAAGTCCAAGTCCTCTTCTTCTTCGTCCTCGTCTTCGTCTCCACGGGCTCGAAATAATGGACGTCGACCACGCCCAGCTCGCAGCATACGCGCACGCAGGGACTTTGCAGCTCCTTTATTAGCGTTTTTAGCAGTAGTTCCACCTCCAGAGGATTCGTTCTGCTTATTCTTGATGTCTTTGTCCACACCCTCTTTGTCATTGCCCTTATTGTTCTCATCACCTCCCTGTTGTTCATTTGATGCAGAAGTACCAGTTTTAATATTCGCGTCATTAGTACAACTAGCAGCTACTAGCGTCCCATCTTTGTTGAATTTGACTTGTTGTATACCCTCTAGAGCAGCGAGAACAGCAGCTTCTTCCTCAGTCAGATCCGGGTTGGCGCCACCTTTAGAAGTGGAGGGACCACTACCACTTCGAGCACCAGTAGTCCCACAGACATTCTTAGCCAACATTTTGTTGTCAACTACCTTTCCGGGTTTGCTTTTCGGTTCAACACCTTTAGTTGCAGCATCCTCCTCCTCGTTATCACCACCAGGATCGTCATCACCGCCCTCCCGATCTTTACGATCGACGCCTTCGCCCAAAAGCTCTAGTTCCGCAACACGTAACTCTTGAATTTCTTTTTTCACAGTCTCCATTTGCTGCCAGAATTGCTGAAGCTTCTTCCGCGATGCATTCTCATGCTGCAGGAGATGCTCCTCGGTCGTCTGGAGGGTCGGGTATTGTAGTTTTTAGGACTTCGAAATGGTGACTTCCTATCTTCTTCTATGCATTATAAGTAGGATTCTCATCTTTTTCCAAGGGTCGTGTTAGTGTATTAAAAACTTACCCAAGTATTTACTTCCAGGTCATGGCTTTACTAACTTCTAGAAATTAGAGGACTGCAGTTACTTAGTGACAACTTAAGCCAAGGGTCTCTTCTGAGTAGAGCACCTTCTCCACTACGAGTTTGATCAGACTGGTAGTACCCTCTTCACATGCTTGTTCAAGCTGGTCGTTTCTTCCATCTGAATGGCGTTTCTATAGCTCGCTTCCAGGAAGTCAGCAGCGTTTTTTGAGGTTTTCAGACTTGACATCTCCCGAAAGTAGTTCTGCTGGTTTGCTGTCAGTCTACGATTAGAAGCAGGCGCTTCAACTTCAAGCTGACCTATGTATCTAGGAGGTGGTCGCATACCTGAGGTGAGGCTGTTCTTCTTGAAAAAGGAGCCATTGATATCATGCGCATGATGAATAGGTCCAAGAACTGCAACAATTCTTAATGTGAAACTGCTGCATCAGTTTTCGTTGAACTAAATAGAAGTCCTCGGTGAAGCTCCTTGCACTCTGCTTGGTCATCTGCTTCGTGCCATCTTGATTCATCCGAGAGAGCTTAAATCTGCCTACTGCGTTGCTTCCTCCAGCTCCACCTGGACTAGAGTTCTTGGAGGAGCTCACCCAAAAATCCATCTTGATAGATTGATACTCAACATGGTCCTGTTCCTGTGTGGCTTTTCCCCTGGACCTCAAGAAGATCCCTTTCGCTTTCAGACAGGATGTCTCTCAAGTAGATCGATGGCGATGGATAATAAATTAGGCAGGAATAACAGTTTTGTTCTAAACGAGGTAACTTAGTAAACTTTAACTGACACATTAGGCAGGAATAAAGCCTTAAAGATAGAAGTGTTCGATGCACGACCTCCAGTTGCGGACACTGTTCTTGTCCTCCGTCTTGTTGAAGATAAAGACGTCGGTGAGGTATTTTCTGTGAGTGAGCCTTTCCCTGTTCCTTCAGGAGTGCCAGGAACGAAGCAGTTGCTAACACTCTCGCGACGACCAGTCGCTCCAGCAGCAGTAGTACCTTGGATATTAGCTCCAGCCCCAGTTGTACTAGACGAAGGTACGATCATTGACGCAGAAGATGCTAAAAGAGCTCCTCCACCGGCTGTTCCACTCGTGGTCTTCCGCAACGAGGACCTCACTTGCGACGCTCCTACTGATGTTTCTGTTGAAGTAGATGGAACGATAATCGATTGACGTCTGATCTGCGTGACTCGTTCTAGAGCCAGCAATTCACGCTTCACGCTCTGCGCAGACCGGAAAATCTGCAGATAGATCTTATGCAGATTGTCCATGTGACTCTTCGATGCACCCTTGTTCTTCTTGGACTCTTTCATCTTTTCTTTGTTTGGCTTAATATTTGAGGAGCTTTTTGTTTTTCCCTGCTATCCTTAGAAGTTCGTTGCTCTATGTACCGGCTTGGCCTCTCTCAGCTCTCCTCGCAGCATATCTATGACTCACTACGCTCGTACCTCTTACTTGAGAACGAGAAGTCAACATAGAGGACACGGAGTCAACATGGTAGAAACAAATAGCTTTAGCTGCTAAGCAAACTGTTCGAAGATAGGTCAAACTAAAATCGGCAAGAAGAAGAAGCCTTAACTTGTTGTTGGTGAAGAAGTACCACGACTAGAACAACTCGAACTCGAAGTGCTACTACCACAGGATGACGAAAAATCCATCTGCAAAAGCTCAGGCGCTTCCAGGAGAAGCACTGAATAAGCCAGAGAGCACTGCTTTACACCGTCGAAGAGTTGGAGCGCACTTTAATCCATTTTGGTCCTGTGAGATGCATCCTCCTGGGCAAAAGCTTTTCTTCTTGAAAAGCTGGTGAAGCCCCTTCTGAGGGATCATGCTTGTGGTTGTGCCCTCTCAGAAGATCGATGGATTATAACGAAGATAAGAGCCTTAAAAGAGGGACTTTGTGTAGAGTTTCTGATTCTTTTTTTGACGTGCTTCCGACAGTTCACTTTGGTGAAAACCTTCAGCTTCACCATGATCCTGTAGTTGAGAACGTGGCTCACTTAGTAGCACACCTGGTCGACGTGAGGCGAAACGCAAACCTAAAGGATTCAAAGTCGCTAGTTGTTCGTTGGTCGAATCCACCTCGTTAATCATGTCTACTTTACGCTCTTCTTCATCTTCGGGCCCTTTTGCGCCATCATCGACACCGTGTTGATCTCTTGTAGTGTCGTCCTGCTGCAAGAATACTATATGTTGGGCCTTGGCGGACTTCTTGATGATATCCTCTGGGTCTGGTCTGAGAGCAGGACGCTGCTCGTAGCAGGTGACTGCATCTCGTAGGGGCTGTTCTTGTACTAGAGCCTCTGACTCCCCGCGTTTGTAGAACAATGCATCTTTGATTTGATGTAGCTTCTTCGTGGTCGTCCTTTCGGGGGACAGTCTTTGACGCAGTGTTTTCATAGGCGCAAGCGGAGCAGCAGCTTTCACCCCTTGTTTCGGAGCTTTCCTTTTGTTAGTGTCACCATCTCCATCGCCAAAGTAGCTAGCCTGACATGCTGTTTCCAACAAGGTGAAAGGACTTGCGCCAGGCTTTTGACTCGCGCCAAGCTTTTTCCGTGTACCCACTGGATGCCCATAGCTTCGTTTCGTGGGTGACGACCGCACGGGAGGACTCCGAGACCTAGTAGGATTAGCTGCAGGAGAGGGCTTCATTTTGTTGATCATCATGATATACAACTACGTGTTGTAGAGCTACGCGTATTCCTTACTACTACATTTTTTAGGTTTGAGATACAGACTCTTGTAGAATCTCATCTCTCCGTCGTGGTCATCTATGCGAAGGACCTTGCTGGTTGTCCCTTGATGATAGAAATGCGGTGCCTTTGAGTTCTGTCGTCGAAAGTAGACCACAGAGTTCCGTGAATAAACCTTAACCATCTGCGCTTCTCTCTCTTGATGACACCTGTTGAGACAGAGGTCCGTGAGGAGACCTACCCCAAGGCAGCTTGGTTAGGTTAGGTTCGGGATCCTGCACATCGAGCTCCCGCGGACTCCTAGCTCAACTCCGAGGACAGAGTAATGCATGCATATCCATATGTCCCTGTTGCCACCTACTTTCCTGATCCTGTTAAGACATTCATGCTATTAAGAAACATGAATGATCAAGAAGTGAAGAGATGAAGGAGCATGAGCAAGTCTTGAGGAGCCAAAATAAAATGTTACAATGAAGGAGGGACCATCCACCATTTCCAAAGACCAAAAAATTGTTACGATGGATTGGGACGAAAACCCTGCTACATCATGACTGGTTGTCCCTGGAGTTATCAAACTAGAATACAGGAAAATTTCTTATGTTGACCACTGACGAGGAGAAGTTCCTTCAACAACTATGATCACTAATTTTCTCTTCATCGCAGCATGACAATGAATTAACAGCACGACATGCATGGAAAAGTTGTTGTGTGTCACAAAGAACAGTAAGGCACAATATGTTGATGTGCAACACCCTTCTAAACAGTATGCGTATGGTTCTTGTTTGTTCCTATGCTCTACTTAAAACTTCTAGACTGCTAGTCGTACTCAGACCCATGTTCTGCATACCTTTCTTACTCACCATCTCCATGCTTGATTTAGTGCGCTGTCATCTCATCAGCTTATGCTTATCTAGTGTGTTCCAACGGCTACTTTTTTCTCGTATGGACTACTTGTTTCTAGAGGTGCTCCATCTGCTCCCACCTCAAGCCGCGGCGTTCTTGGTAAGAAGATGCTTCTTTCAGGTGCGCTTTTTTGAGGCCCTTTCGACGATCCGCCATGTTGTTAGGGCTGTCCGAAGGGGTACATCTTTGCTCTGCAACATCCTTGAAGTGTATCTCCTGTATCACCATGAGAATAAGTACTCAGTCATACTTTTCAGGGATGCTCTCAAAGATGAATTATCTTCGCTAGTCTTAACCATGTGGAACATCAAGTTCTGACGTGGAATGATCATCATGATCTTCGTCCCCTAGAGCTATCTGCTGTCCTCTAAGGCTAGTAGCACGTTCATTTCTTTGGTGTCGTCCGGCACTCTTCTGGTCTTTGGCCATTTCGCGTTTTGCTTGTGCCTTTGCTCCCGCGATGACGCCGTAGAAATTAGAGCTGCATAACAGGCCTACCTTATTGTCGGGTCCACCTCGTTAAATTGGAGTAGATATTGAACTCAACGAACAAGATCGGATCTCTCATAAGTACTTACAGCTAGTATAGAGATTGCAGCGTCACGGTCACGCAGTAATAGGTAAACAATTCATTTCTTGCCTCCATTTTCTCACCTTCTTGAGGAGGAAACACTGAAAAATGACTTCTAGAAATGAAATGTTTCAACCCATAAAATAGGTGTTACAACTGATTCAAGAATTTGTATTTGAATGATGAAAATAAACTTCTACTAGCCTCATTCTTTCAACATAACTAAATTCTGGGAAACGCATACCAGACTGGTGTGTTGCTCGCTTGTTTGGTAGTGCGACATCGACTTCCAAGCGAGTAAGCTGCGAGGTAAGCGCAATAGCCAACCGGCTCTCCACAGGATCTTAGAAGCTTGTGGTTTCACTATTGTTGTCCATTGATGTTGTCCTTGGTTTTGAGACGATTTCTTTATTGCACGTAAGAAAGTAGAAGAAAAATTTACCCAAGTTCAATAGGCTTTGAACAAGCGGAGAGAACAGTGAAAAAGAACGCACAATTCAATTCAACATCTAGTAAAGGTTTTTCATGTTCCCCGGTGGTAGTTTGATCTGGTGTTTACCCAAAAAATTTGGAATTCTTTCTTCATCTTGAGCGGAGCTCATCTCTACTGTGACACTGTTTTCCCCTGGAATCAAAAAGGAGGTTCCAGTCAATAAAATGTATGGATCCATTGGGAAAAGTTCACTACTCTACTAGTCCACTTATCGCTGCAGGTGCAGCCGAAAGCGAGGCATCTTTTAACCGTGCAAGAACATGTAAATCAATGAACAATAATGCAGTTGTTCTAGACCTGACGATAGAGATAGTGGAATCATCAATCTTCATTAACTTCCAAAGTAACTTAACACTAAATAAATATCGATAACGTTGTACTTTAGCCTTAATGACTGGTCGACTCTCAGTCAGATGCCCGCACTCATCACAGGGTTGGAGGCGGAAACAAGGAGCACCACAAAAGTCGCAGTCTCGGATAAACCAGTTCTTCTTTTTCTTGCCGGCAGCGAGAGCTGTAGAAGTGGAAATAAAGATTTCAAGAGCAAAGGTATGATCTATATAGCACACATGAGCATTTAATACGAAAACTAATAGTACTAAAGTTTTCAAGAACTACAAAGGACGCCAAATGACAATCAGAGAGTCTGACTCAGACTTCAATACCATCTTTTCTTTTTCCTCTCAATGCCTCGTCGTACTTCTTCTTCCAATATTCGGTGTGTTTTGCTGCGTTCTTCAGTTGATTCTCCAATTTCACTAATTTTTCCAGCGTTAGAGGGTTTGGAAAGTCAAAATTCATAGCAGTAGCACACATGAACTACATACGAAAACAGTACTAAAGATTATCTCATTATGAGCTGGAGCTGTTTGCTCATCAATGAATTTTTGATGTGGTCTAGCTGTAGAAGTAAGTTCCGAGCACGTGCTGTATCAAATAAGAAAGGAAATATTTTCAGATTGGTTTTCAACTACGTAAGTAGCTGGGATACTCGACGAACTCGAAGTAAAAATGAACGAACTCACGTCTCAACTCTAGCAGAAGGTTCTGCTCCTCTAAGTCCGCGACGCGTTTTTTTTCCTCTGCTAGGAGTCCTTCTAACTGTTTCACCCGCAATGTCAACTTCGTCACTCGCTTTCTTGCAGCATCCAATTCCTTCTCCAGAGCGGTGAGCTTTAGATGATTGTACAAAGATCAAGCTTCATTTTTATTTAAGAGATTGCTCTATCAAGGGCTTCGTCATCTTTTCAGAGGACGCTCTAGGAACGAAGCACCCCAAAAAAATATTTCGCGCCAATAATGTAGTTCAATCCTCCAATTGTTTGAACTTTTTTCGCACCTCTACCTGTGCATAGATACTTACACAAAGTACAAACAACAAATTACCGCCATAAAATTTTGACAAATGCAGCTTCGAGTTTAGCTTCAGTTCGTTCAAGTTGCCGCTTGAGTTCTTTTTTTAAGCGGAATTGACCAATGGCGTCCTCTGAAGCCATCCTATGACTCTGCTGCGATTGAAAGAGAGCTATTCGCGTTGCCTGTTTAGGTGGTGGTGAGCAGGGTCCTTGCCTCCTGTTTCAGGTGGTGCTGAATCATAACTGAATCGTAACATAGTACGAATCACAACTGGTAGGAGTAGTAGAACAAGTCCTAGTACTACCAGTATCTTAGAGGACCGTTGGATTTGACCGGAGGTAATAAATCGTGTTCCTCCAAATTGTGTTCCTCAAAATTGAAGTAGTCTGTCTTAGTACCTCAACATTGCTACAATGGTGAAGTCTACGATATTTTCCTCAACATTGTTACAAGTGAAGTAGTATTACCTCCAATTCCTTTTCCAATGCTAAGCTTTTAGCTTCGAATTTTTCAGATGAGGCCTTCCATTCATCCCGTTCTTTCGTGAGCGTGTCGATTTTTCGCAGGTAGCCATTTGCTCCAGCAGGTTAGAGGTCTCAAATCATAGAGCTCACCAAATAAGCCTCTGCAGGATGCATCCCCTTGAAAGGACAGACTCCCCCGTTCCTTTTATAAAAAATGGGCCTCCTCGTCCTCAGGATGCTTCAGATAATTCAGAGCAAGGTTTAATAATGAATGAATGAATGAATGTGCCTAGCAAGAGGTGTTTGCATTGCCTTCCTTGAATCGAAAAACTGAAGTAACCGAGTATGCTAGGGAATAATCTCAGATACTCGGTTATCATGTTGTTACAACTTACTCGCATATTTTATTTTTATGAGTATTCGAGTAAGTTAATTAAGGCACAAAGCCTTCGTTATCAGTGGTGCTGGCTCAAGATCCTGAAGACCTGGCTCAAAATCCTGAAGATCAAAGTTCATCCGAGCCCCTTTTCCCTTTGAAAAGCCTCCGACTGCAGGAGTATAGATTGATAGAAACCTGAAACTACTAACGACCCTATTAATATTCTTGAAGAGGTCGTCCGTGATGTAGTGCAAAAAATCAGAACAAGGTTAATTAGGCTACAACTGAGCCTTCGCCTTAAGCGCCACTAATATCTTTCCACGGAAAGAAGACTTTCCTTTTCTCGTTCAGATTCCGAAACCAAGCGCAGGCCTCAATAGTCTGGTCGAATTCGCGCATGGCCTTTTGCTTGGGTTAGAAACGATGGCAAAAGTATTAATCAGTGAAAATAAGTAGAGGCTTGTTAAACGTCATAATTCAAAAGCATGTCGTGACAAGAGAAACGATGGTAAGTAAAAATATCAAAACTAGCCCGAGCAAAATTGTAATGAATCCTACTTAGAGCAGTCTACGTCTAGACCTAGGGAAGACTGTTCTTAAATGCACAATTCGACTTAGTTCATCTCGGAGACAAGGTTATAGCACTAGGCATAGACATTATTCTTAGTCTTATTCTCGTTCACTTTCACATGTCTTCGTCTTCTGTCATGGTGTTCCCATTGACTCATATCTAAATATCATGCCTTCTATCTTCCATAACTCTGAATCAATTCGGTTGATATTGGGTCTTTCCACGTCTCAATTTGCCCAAGACGTCTCGCCACTCCACATCCATCTGCTCGTGACGCCTCCGCTAGCTGTCTTGCTGTTGTTTCTTAGAGCAGACTTTCTACTTCTGTTCCTTCTTTTTTACTAAATGTAAACACTAATAGTAATACTTTCATTTAGACTGATGCACCTGCTTGATGTTAATATTAGAGCTTGCTCCTGACGAGTAACGTTACGTCGACGGGATGCTCAACATAGATGATACACATCAAGGTAACACTGTATTAAAAGAGGTAACAAGGAGCCAACTACTACAGCATCTACATCTGATGACATGAATCTGAATGATTGACTGAGGCGCCTGGCAAGAGGTAGGTCTAATTGTTGTGCATCTAGTTCTTCTCCTTTTTCTCTCCCTTTTTTTCTTCTTTGCATGTCGCCAAACTTCTACCTACATCCGCTACAGACTCTACATGATTATGTGAACTTTCACCACCACAACTTGTGATAGTTTTACTCAGATAATTCATTCGTGTACTGCTCAGTCTCAGTGCATAACTTTCAGATAATTTCGTGTACTCCGTTCGCCACCAACTTTCACGATCACGGAAGCGCTTTTGTACTTGTTGCAAGGACAACTCTGCTGGACACTTTAGGCCCAAAGTGCACGACGTGGCACAACTGGACTTAGCCCTCTCCCTAATTCATCCCTGTGGGGATCCCTCAAGTGTATGGCACAGTAGAAGTCCTCCCCTCGTATTCAGGCGCATACGCGTGAGGAATACCAATAGAGATAGATTAGGGGAGGCCTTAATGGAAAGGTTCTGGTCCGACGACGAGGCTTTCTTTGCGAACGCCCTACCAGAATTGTAGTTGGATTTTTTTTTGGAAATTTTTCTAACAAATTGCTGCTCGCCTTCATCTTCATCATCATGCTCGTCATCGCGTCCACCTTCAACATCGTTTACACCGTTTTCATCATCATCGTCTGCGCCACCAAGATTTTTCAGCAAAAAGCTCGTACCCGTGAGGAGCTTTTTGTTTGGCGGTGACCGGCTTCGCGTCTTCATACGCGAGGATGGGCTGCGACTTCGCATCATATTCTTGATGCCAATTCGAGGAAGAACATGCCTAGAAATAGACTTGGAAGGTACTACGTCGAAAAAAATAATGAAACTAAGCGAGAACGGGGCGGCGCCTAGTATGGTAGCGGAGTCACAGTACCAAAGACTCTTACGGACAATCAGCATTTCTAGTTTTTAATAGCGAGGATGTCGGAAGGGGGAAGAGAAGAGAAAGTGTTTCGATGTGACTAAAAGCACAAGTACCTTTGGGGGCAAGCTGTATGTCGTCGCTGTTGTACAACCTCCAGCGGCTGTATCATAGTGATAGTTCATCTTCATCTAATACCAATAGTACTGTCTTTATTACTCATAGAAGCGCCTCAAAAATTGTATCGATATTTGGAGGCAGTGGGCGATGTCGGCCATACTGAATGCTATTTGCAATATGTATGAGAAACAGACTCATTAAGACGTACGGAAAACAGACTCACATATGTACTTCTATGGGAAACAGATTGAGAAACGACCTCGACAGACAGACTCTTGAGTCAATTGATGAAGACGAACCGACTCGCTCTATAAGGATCCGCGTCAATTGAGGAGGACCGAGTTTCCGAAAGACATCGCGGAAGAGAACAGCGAGATCAAAAGGGGCATTGAAGAGCAGCTCTCTGTTAACCTCAAAGAACCCCTTATTTGGATCATGCGTCGCTGCAATGAGTAGAAGAAGCAGAAGTGCGAGGTGATCTATGTACAGCAGAGCATGTGTGAGGTAATCTTTGTACAACAAGTATGAGGTGTGAAGATCATGTTAAATACAAGCGCAAGTGCTTCAGCCAATGAGCTATACAACTACAGTTGTCTCACATTCTAACCATGACAGCAGTATTTTCTGTGCAGGAGTTCCATCCAATAATCCTAGTTATGTACAAGGCTACTTCGTTCTGTACATCAGGAGTTTCATCCAAGAATCCTCATACTACTGATTTCAGATTCTAGTGGAGTATTTTCTTTTTTTTTGTAGTCGTCCGCCTTGTTGTCGTGATCAAATAGCAGTCTACTCAGTGGAATGGACAAAAATTGTGGATCTTCAATATAGTCTAGTAGGTGGAACTTCAGTAACTACCCATAGACTTCAGTAACAAACTTAGACTTACTAGAATGAGTTATAAACTGCGATTTAGTGTTAAGGCACTAGGCCTGTTGATGTTGAATGATATTGGTGACAGATGTTGTGTTTTTGTTGGAAAGAGAATATATACTAGTGCTCGAGATGTTGCGTCTCAATTGGAAAGAGAACGCTTTTAGTGGTAGATGTTGCGTTTCTGTTGAAGAAAATAGATATGATTAATGGACTACAACTACTTAGACGGCGACTCGTAACAAAAACTGAGTAGCCTGGAAGCATACTGGCGTCGAGGATAGAATATTACTAGAAACATACTGGGTAGTAGATGTTGCTTGTGAAGATAATGCTTGTGATAGTTGTAGCCTGTTTTTCTATTGGAAAGATAATACTCGTGACTGATAGATGAATAAGTTGTTAAATGATGATCAGAATAATTGAAAATAGTTGATGTAATGCTATTTAATCAGAGCGACAAGGGAGAACGAAAGAACATGATAAGGATCAAAGAGCTCGGTAAGTGGACAGCTCTGGTAAGAACGCTAATTTCTCAAAATGAAAAATCAAGAAGTAGTTGTTGCAATAAACAGCCTTGCTAATGATCTTGGATAGTCAAAAACGTACTTCACGGATGAGATGTAGTCGTGGGAATTGAAGTGGTCTACTTCTCCTTGCAGATAAATGAATAAAATAAAAATTTTTGATTAAGTGCAAGTGGTAGCTTTTCAGAGCAATCCATGTATGACCATCAATGGCCACACGGCAGCCCTATTCATGCTAACCAGTGGCCACCTCTTTGCCCTTGCTTCTTGCTGCACGTCCTAGTTCTTGGATGTTGAAAAGTTCATATGTATGTATGTGTAGAAGGAGTTCGGCAACACGTTGGGTCTTACTCACTAGTGTGCGGCAAAGCAAGCGGCCTGCTAGAATGAACACACAAGGCTCACGCGATGCGGTTGCGGCAAGTCAGGACGCCCGTGTAGAATATCCAGGGGAACTTGTGGCCGGGTAGGGGCCATGCCGTCACGCGCGCGCGTGTTCCAGAGAGCGAAGGGAAACAAACTCCAACCAGGGAGCCGGCGGCAGGTGTTCAGCTGTGTCGTCCAGCAACAACAGTGACCGTTCCGCCTTGGCCTCCTCAACACGGCTGCCGGGGCCGAGCGATCGGAGCCCAGAGAGAAGCTACCAACCTAGGTAGCTGTAGCGAGCGTGGTGGTGGCAAGAACAGAGGCAGAGGGCGGGAGGCCACCTCATCCCTACGAGAGCGAGGTGAGCGACCAGGCTACACACCTGGACCAGGTAGACTGTCCGACAAACAACCAACTACCAAGCAACCAACAAGTTGTCGAAGAAAAGGCTTGCTCTATGATGATCAATCCTACGCGATGTTGTATGACTGGTGTGCGCTCCTGTGCATCTTCTTTGGAGTATGTGTACGCAAATGCGCCTCCCTGTCCCTTTTACATATTACTCCCAGCATGGCAGGCAATGAGCAATAAATATATATCTATCAGGCAAAAAAATTACATATATGCAGACGGCTATATTGCCCACAGCACATCACAAAAGTCGTCCACAGCATATATGCAGACGGCTATATTGCCACACAAAAGTCGTCCCGCCATCAAACTAAAAGTAGTCCGCCAAACTGGTAGACTCTAGCTCCTGCTCTAGAAGTTGTTCTCGCTAGTCGCTCCCAATAAACTACTACAAACAAGAAGAGGGGCACTAGCCTCTACTTACTACTGTTGTTCGTGTTCATCTCCTTCGCCCTCTCCAGCCAGTGTGGTGTCGTCCCCGTCTTCTCCTGCGCAAGATTCGCTATCATCGCCAGGATGGTCCTGCAAGGGGCTGTGGTTAGAGCTGATGGCGATGGTGATGCTGGTAATGATGATGATGCGCCAGCGCCTAGCGCGAGGCGTTGCTAATTGTGTTTAGTAGCTCGTCGGTGCCTTCTTGTAGGTACAGCGATTTTTAGTCACATAGTTCCTGCTGGCTTGTTTGGTCATCATGGTCCAGAGCTACGCGCATCTAGTACTCATGGGTCATACTCGGTAGTTATTGAATTTGTTATACTTGCTTAATACTTCAAGGCTTCGAGTAACTATAAGCCCTTCAATATTAACCGCAATATGTCTCAGTCAGCTCTTGTTCAGCGGGCCAACTTGGTCAAGTGTGAGAAAAAGCTTACAACATAGTCCAGAGAAAGAAAGACCAGTAGAACTATTATTATTACCACAGAAGACCATAATTTGCATCTCGCACTCGGGCAGTGGCTCACCACAAGGCTCCTCTGTTTGCTCTCCGAAGCCGAAAATCGACAGCGCAGGCGTTGGCGGAGGAAACACTGTTTGTTCCTCTGTTTGCTCTCCGAAGCCAAAAATCGACCCCTGCTCCGCCGCAGACCCAGACGCTTTCTTTTGCGGTGGAAACATTAGAGCTTTTCTCGATGCACAATTTTGGACGAATTAATATAGTTACAAGGAAGCCACGCGGGAGAAGATCTTAGATCATAAGGAAAAAGGATATAGCTTCTGGTAGATTTTTAGCGCTAGTTAGTTAAGTAGTTAGTTAGTTAGTTAGTTAGTTAGTTAGTAAGTTAGTTAGTTAGTCTTAGTGAGAGAGCAAGCTCGACTTGACGTAACGATATATCTACCACATAAAAGCCATGCTTACTACTACTACCAGAGCTTAATCTTCAAGACTTTTTCTCGTGTTCACATCATTGCAGGTCATCGCACTAGAAAAAGGACTCAATATTGGAGGCGGACTGTCTTGAATAGATACTCACTACGAGGATCATGAAGGAGCCTGAACATGGATGTGGCCCCTTGATTCAAGGACAGTTGAAAACACGAAGACGCTTGAAACACTACTCCTCTCAAGTGCGCAGGACTTAACACAAGACCTTGAAGTAGTGGTCGCAAGTAGGAGCGCTAGTTTGGTTTGGAGGACTACAATTTTTTTGAGTAATAGGTTTTGTAGGTATAATGCGATTTACCTAGGACTTTTCAAATTCAGTATTTCTGTGGAGTAAATTTGTATATATGTTCCAGGGCGCGGGGCGACGCCCCCCCCCTTTTTCAGGCGTCTGCCGGGGGGGGAAGGCCTCAAAAAGGGGCCGAGTGACCTCCCCCCCCACTCCCTTCCAGCTTCCTGGCTGTTCCCTAGGGGCCTCCGATGGTGGTGGGAGGCTTCAAAAGGGGCCCAAGGGACCGCCTGCGCCCCCGTCCAGGTGCCTGCCTGTGCCCTGAGTGCGTCCGTTAAGCTTCGCCGCCGCAGCAGTGCACCGGCAGCGGAAGGCCCCCGAAGGCGGCAAAAGGCGAGGGGCTGGACCCCCTGAGCCGGTCCGCCTGTACCCTCCGGGCCCTTGGTCATCGGCTTGCTCGCTCTTGTGACCGTGGCCGCCTCCGGCGGCCTTTTACCCAAAAGGCCTCCCGCCTGCGAGGGTCAGCAGGGGCCAGGGGGTCCCTTCGGAACACGCTGAGAGGCCCAAGGGGAGGCCCGCGCCAAGTTTTGACGCCTTCTCCCGTCCGGCCAATTGAGTCATATAATTAATCTGCTGACGAATGAGAAGTCAAAGGTCGCCTCCAGCTTAGACGGTCAGCTCCTACACAAATCGCGTCAGCCTAAGCGCCATCTGACTTCACTAATTTACCACCCAAGCAGCAGCAGCAGCAGCACTCTCTCAGGATCATGCAGCATCAAGTAACGACGACGCAAAAAAATAAAAGAACAAAAACAACATTGCCTAAACTCGGCAGGTAAGTAAGGAGAGACGACTAGACCACTACTCACCACTAATATACTCGATAAACTGAAATAAGAAGTAAGTAACTGATCCTGAAAATAGGCGAGATACATCAAGAAGAGCAGCGCGGTGCCTCTGTTATTTCGGTGAGCTACTCGCCTATTTTACGTCTTCGAAGTAGTAGACAGCCGCTCATAAAAACAGACTGCTCGCAGCGACTGTAGACGAGAGCTGCAAAATATGGAGAGAGTCGCTCTGCTCCTCTTCTCCCTCCTCGCTGGGCTGCAGGTACTCCTGACCACCAACTAGAAGAGATTAGAAATAGACGAGCTTTTCATCTACTTAAGTGACGTTTTTGAACCGACGAATACGGGCAAAGGCGTGAAGTATTCATCTTTAAACAAAAAAGGATCTCACAGAAGATACTTAGGCGGTCAGTGATTAATGTAGTCACTGATATCTCACAGAAGAACCTTAGGCGGTCAGTGATTAATGGTACCACTGGGTATTAAATACCGAGTCAATGTCTTATATATAGATATCGAAGAAAAATTGATGCTCGGCTACTGCATCACGATCGGATGGATGTGTCTTACTTTGTTACGATGCAAGCAGCGTGTTCTTCTTCACGACAATGTAAGCCGTCGCGCGTCTTGTTCTTCTTCTTCTTCAACTATCTTTAACGATAATTCCGATATCAGTACGTCAGCGGATCAGCTGTTTTATAGTTTTCATCGTTAATGGATTCATCTTCATGCTGTATATTAGTCATTTTTGAATACATCATTTCTGAAAAGATAGAGACTGACCCATACTTCGGGAGTTTTTTAAGAAATAGAAACACAAACGCCCGCCTTAATATTGTTGCGAAGAAGGCAGCTGGCGTGATGAAGACTCACCCTCTTGTTGGCGGGGTCGTCCTCCTGCCGCTCCTCCGACTCCCGCCACTGCGGTTCTTGGCGGCTCTGGTCCTCCGAGGCCCGACAGCCCTCCTGCGTTTGGTGGCGGCTGTAGTCCTCCGAGGCCCGGCAGCCCTCCTGCGTTTGGTGGTGGCTGTAGTGATCCAAATCCAGGCGGCGCTCCTGCGTTTGGTGGCGGCTGTAGTTCTTCGAGGCCCGGTAGCCCTCCTGCGTTTGGTGGCGGCTGTCGTGCTCCAAATCCAAGCGGCGCCCCTGCGTTTGGTGGCGGCTGTAGTCCTCCGAGGCCCGGCAGCCCCCCTGCGTTTGGTGGCGGCTGTAGTCCTCCGAGGCCCGGCAGCCCTCCTGCGTTTGGTGGTGGCTGTAGTGATCCAAATCCAGGCGGCGCTCCTGCGTTTGGTGGCGGCTGTAGTTCTTCGAGGCCCGGTAGCCCTCCTGCGTTTGGTGGCGGCTGTCGTGCTCCAAATCCAAGCGGCGCCCCTGCGTTTGGTGGCGGCTGTAGTTCTTCGAGGCCCGGTAGCCCTCCTGCGTCTGGTGGTGGCTGTCGTGCTCCAAATACTGGCGGCGCCCCTGCGTCTGGTGGTGGCTGTCGTGCTCCATATCCTGGCGGCGCTCCTGCGTTTGGTGGTGGCTGTAGTGCTCCATGTCCTGGCGGCGCTCCTGCGTTTGGTGGTGGCTGTAGTGCTCCAAATCCAAGCGGCGCTCCTGCGTTTGGTGGCGGCTGTAGTCCTCCGAGGCCCGGCAGCCCCCCTGCGTTTGGTGGTGGCTGTAATCCTCCGAGGCCCGGCAGCCCTCCTGCGTTTGGTGGTGGCTGTAGTGATCCAAATGCCGGCGGCGCTGGCGGCTGCGGACCAGTAGGAGAATTGACACCATTAGCGCCCCCAATCCAAGAAGAACATGGAGTAGCTAAATTATTTTTATCATTGATAGGATAAGAGGATAAGAATCAGCCCACCTGCTTCGGCAGGGGAAACCTATATCCTCCAAGCTTCGGACTCGGAAGATGACTTAGTATGAATCACTTTGAGAGCACCTCTTTCTTTTGAACTTGAACAAGAAGACGACGACGAAATATTCGAAAGCCCGATCATAATAAAAGCAACGGCCGTGTCCCTTCCAGCTGAATTCTTTTTGGAGGGTCCCCGAGTCGTGCCACGTCCGGTCGTGTGCAGTCGAAGAGTGGTCCCGCGTCCACGGGTGGTGCGGCGTCGTACACACATTAGCGCTCTACCCTATAACAAACTATTCTATAAGTAAAAAAAGCCGTTGGCGTGCATCTCTTGCAATACTTTGGATGGAGGGACCAACCTAAGGAGCGAGGGGAATGCTATAAGTATCCAGCCATATCGGAGAGCATCTTTTTAGACTCTATTTGCAGTAGTGCTTCTATGCCACGGCTGGTGCCTGGTGGCTCCTCACTTTAACTGACTACAATGGCGCGTGCCCGTGCCCTGCCTCTACTCACTTAGTGGGCCACGCCATGCTGCTGCCGGAAGATATCTCTTCGGGAGAGTTTTCTTTTTCTTCGAAGGAAGACGAGCAGAAGCATTGGAGCCGGGGGCCCACTTGTTTTTATCTCTAGTAGCGTAGCCTTAACCGCATAGTAGCGCCACGGCGACTGGTTCCTCTACCGGGGCGGCGAGCCGCTCCTCTTCGACGCGGAGTCCCCCTGCGGGGAGTCCCTCCTCCTCTTCCCGTAGTAGTGGCCCTTGTCGTGGTGGCCCTTGTCGTGGTGGCCCTTGTCGTGGTTGTCCTTCTCCTTGTCGTGGCCCTACGCTTTGTCTGTCGCCTCTTCTTTTTTAACGGACTCTCCTGCTTAGAGCTGACAGGCATACACAGAGAGACACGTCACAGGATGAGAGTCCTCAGTTTGATCCGTAGTGATGAGCTCAAGGAGCCATACTAGCTAGCAGCCCACAGACGAGAGATTCATGATAATCGACAAGATGAGAACAAAAAGTAACTAGCGCACTGCACACAATAGATGAGAGAGCATGACGAGAACGCCGCAGCAGACTCATCTCGATCACTGGAGCCGAAGGCCTTCCCGCTTCGTCAGCGTCTCCTTCCATTCTCAGTAATTGTAATTCACTTCTTTTGTATTTGCGTTGCGCGGGGGACTAACCTAAGACGAGGAAAAATTCATCACCGCCCCTTTTTTAATGTGCTATATCTAACGTTGTCTATTACTTACGTGCACTTTACTAGAGCAGTTTATAGGGGTGCCAAATCCGGGACGGGATGGATCGGATGGAACGGATGGACTTTCCACCATTTCAAGTAGGAGCGGAAGAATCAGGGGGGTCCATCCGATCCATCCAAGTCCATCCTACATCCGTTCTATAAACTACTCTACTATACATAGATGATATAGTACTAGCTTACATGCTAGTACAATGGTGCCACATTACAGCATGACTATGCACATGTTACAAAACATGCATAGAAGTAGCTTGATGCATAGGCGGCGCCTTAATTTTGCCTCTTGCTTTACTGCGGGCACTACTCCTGGTTTTTTGTATCCCTGAAGAATCTTGCTCGCCTGTTTCCTCCAAGTCGTCATCTTCGGCGCTATCTTCATCGGCCTCTCCCTCAGTCGTGCCACTAGGAGGCTGCATCCGCTCGCCGCCGGCGATAAGGCTACCATCTTCCTCGCCTGCCCCAAAGCCTGGGACCGGTCGGCCGGCTTCACTAGAATCCGGACTCGGAGGGCCAGCTTGACTAGAACCCGTTGGAGCTTGACTAGGACCCGGTGGAGCCTGACCCTGACTAGGACCCGGCGGAGCTTGACTAGGACCCGTGGTAACGTCAAGACTGTCAGCGCCGCTACTGCTTCCACCACTAATGCTCCCAGAACTACTACTTCCACCACTAGCTTGACTGCTTCCGCCGAAACTATCATGGCCATAAAGAGCACAACAGCCCACACAGCAGAAATGAAAAATATTGCTTTTTCTCCCCTCTAAGGCAGGCAAATCACCGAGGATTCCCACGCCCCTTCTTAACTTATTAATGTAAATATGCGTACTTAGGCAAGAGGCACACAGATAAGAGTAAGCAGGACATCCATGAGACACCGCTGCACAGAGATAAGTAGCACACTTTCACTTACGCTCATCAAAATGCTGGCGGCAGAGGTCCGCCTCCGCCCCATTTTTTTCCTTTCTAGATCTAGCTCTAGCTCTTTCAGTCTCCCCCTATTTAACGAATATGGTGAAAGAAGTTAAGGTCCTGTCGGGTGTGTCGCCCTTCTTGGCGACCGTGCTACGCTTTCAACCTCATAACGCTGACGACAACGCCAAAGTAAGCCAATGCTTGTCACTCTTACACGGTTCCACATCATTAGCGGGCCCAGCTTGCCTAGAAGTAGCGCGGTGGATAACGATGACGACGCAGGCCCGCCGATCAGGTGGGGCGGCGTGCCATCCCATCCCTGCAGCAGCTTCACTTAGTTGCACGGGCTGCCCTCTCAATCTCAGAAGCAAAAAGCTGCCCCTATTCGACCCCGCAGAGAGCAGCCCCACTAGAAAGAACAAAAAGGAAGAAAAGCTAAGTTAACTCAGCAAAAGTCTCACATTTAAAAAGAGCTACAAGCCCCAATCGGTACGAAAACGGGCGGCAGGTCTCGACTTCCTGCGGAGCTCTTAGAGGGGAGAAAGGAGAGGCAAATCACCCATAACAGAGGAGGAAACACGCGAAGACGAGGGCGGCAATTTTGACCCAGTCCAGCCAACCATCTCCAGAAGCAGCTGCAGTCCCTTCTTCATAAATATTAGACGCTGACTGACTGTTGTGGCACGTAGGTGAGGTAGATGAGGTAAACAGTAGCCCTGTTGCCCTTAGAAGAATCTTAGACGCACAATACCTTTTTCACGTTAAAGTGAGCATCTCTCCAGCAACAGGCGAGAGGGGTAAAGAATAGAAATGGCCGTGAGCTAAGAGTACTTAGGGTGATAAAAAATGCTCTCACGGCTTCTGGGCCTGGCGTGACAGCTGAAGCCAAGTAATGCAGCTATAGACGTTGAAGGAGTGTGCAACAGCTGAAGTACTGGGCGAACTAGATGCCTGGAAGTGGAATAAGAAAGTTCGAGCTATAAAATAATGATAATCGTCAAAGGTAGCCTAATGGCCAACTTATCGCGAAGAGCCTTAGTCGAAGAAGATGGGGATGCGCCTCTGGAATTAGGTGTCCCACCCTGTTCTTTATTAGAGTCAGACAGCCTGTATCCATCTCCGCCCCTTCAATCATCTCGACCCCCTTCCCATGAAATGTAAGGCAGGGAAAAGGGTACCGGGATGCCGATAACGATGGATAAAAGCTGGCCTTAGCATTGCTCTCGCCCTGATCTTGGTCCGTGCTGCGTCGAAGTTCTTCTACTTTAGCGCCATCCTGGCCTTCTTGCTCCTTGCTGCGTACAATGCCTTCGCGCCCTTCGTCAGCACTTGTGGCTCGTTCAACCGCAGCTTCCCCCGCTGGCGAGGGCTCGCCTTCCTTATTCCCGTTGGGCCACCAACTCTTCATGACTTAGAGGTTCACACAGCTAAACCATCCTAGTGGATAGCAGGGATCCCGCAAAAGTATCGACGGCATGCCCTACTATAGTGGCCTCCCGTTGTGTGTTGGGATGAATTTGACAACTGCGTACTGTTGCGGGTCCCTATATATCAGAGAAAAGATTGACTTGGGGAATCCTTAAACAAGGGCGCTGCCTTTCTTGTTAACGTCGAGGGCGCTGTCTCTCTTGTTCGTGTCGACGTCGTCTTTCTTTTTGGAGTCCTCGTGGCCGTCTCCTCCCTCGTTGTGTGCTAGTTCACGTTCACCACGTTCTTCTTCGCCCCCCGTGCCACCTCCTTGCTGATGTGTACTACTTGTAGATGCTTCGCCACTTGCGCCACCTCCTTGCTGGTGTGTACTACTTGTAGATGCTTCGCCACTTGCGCCACCTCCTTGCTGGTGTGTACTACTTGTCGATACCTCGCCACTTGCGCCACTTCCTTGCTGCTGCGCAGCACTACCAGATGGCGCCGTTGATGAGCCACTAGGTCGCGAAGACGCAGCATCACTGCTACTTCTAGGCGATAAAGGGTCTTCCACGTCTTCGGTGTTGGCATGGGAATCAAGATTCGCGAGGTGGTCAGGTGGATTATTCGAGCATTCCCATACTCACATCTTCTAGAGGGTTGGCAGCATCCTTGACCACGTGTTTTTCATTCCATCACCCTTGGTCAAATTTGGGAGAAGTGCGTCAAAGATACTTATACCTCTTCAGGGATGTTGAATTGATGGGGAAGAAGCCGTAAGACTCAAAAGCACCGTGCTACTTTTCTTCTGTGTTTCATCGACAACATGCCCCCCGCGCGGTTGTTCCGCTTGAGCAGCAGCATCCGCTTGCCCTTTTCCATCCCCCCTGCCCGCTGCTGCTCTTTCATCATCTCGCCCAGCTTCTCTTTCCTTTTCAGCTTCTGCTGCTTTCAGTCTTGCCCGCTCAGCTTCTGCTGCCTTCTCGTCACGCTTGGCGCCCTCGGCTTGTTGTTTCAGCATGGTTCCTACTCGCTCAGCCTGTGCTCTCTTGTCGGCCTCTTTTGCTGCTGCACTCTTGTCCGCCTCTTCTGCTGCTGCTTCGCGCTCTGCAGGCTTGGCCCCAGCAACTTTAAGCCTGTTTCCCCGGTCTCTCTCAGCTTCTGCACGCTTGCTAGCTTCCTGCTGAGCTTCTCGACCTTCCTCAGCCTCTTTTGCGTCTGCAGAGGTTGCTTCCTCAGCCTTTCTAGCTTTATCTTCCACCTCAGCTGTAGCGCCCTTCGAGGTTTCTCCATCCATCACCCTTGCTGCTTCTGCTCTTGCTGCTACGAGCCTTGCTTCCTCATTCTCAGATTTTGCTCTTCTATGGAAGCTAGGGCTACTAGAAGACTTTTCCTCTGCTGCTCTTTCTGCTGCGAGCCTTTCTTGCTCTTTGTTCTCCGCATTGGCTTTTTCATGATCCTCAGCCACTTTGCTCATGTTGTCGCGGTGTTCTTGGGTCAGCTTCATCGCATCTTCGTCAGGCTGCTCTCCTGCTCCAGCAAGCTTTTTTTGCTCTTCCTTTGCCTCTCTATCTTCCGCGCCAGCTTCTCTACCATCCTCAGACGCTCTTTTTTGAGCGTCGTTGTGTTCTTGTTCCAGCTCCTTATCTTCGTTCGGTTTCGTTTCTGCTGGTCGTGCTGCAGGTGCCAGCCCTTCTTCCTCAGCTTCTCTTCTACGGCGACGCCTAGCAGCAGCAAGAGCCGCTATTTTTTCATAGTCAGCGTCCTGCCTTTCTTGTTCTTCCTTTCTAGCGCTTCTAGCCGTCTCAGCTTGGGCACGGAGTTCTCTCCGCTTACCTCCAGCAGCAATCTCCTCACGGAGTTTATTTGCCACTGCGCTCCCTGATTCCATTTTCTCTCCAAGCCCTTCCTCGTTAGGTTTCTGTAGTTCTGCAGCAGGCCTATTTTCCTCCGCTTTTCTGGCTAACGCGGCCGCCTCGATAGGTTGCTCTCCTGCTGCAGCAAGCCTTCCTTCCTCCTTACCGCTTCTAGCCGTCTCAGCTTCTCTTTGACCACGTCTAGCAGCAGACTCCGCTTTTTCATGATCCTCAGCCACTTTGCTCATGTTGTCGCTGTGTTCTTGGGTCAGCTTCATCGCATCTTCGTCAGGCTGCTCTCCTGCTCCGGCAAGCTCTTCTTGCTCTTCCTTTGCCTCTCTATCTTCCGCGCCAGCTTCTCTACCATCCTCAGACGCTCTTTTTTGAGCGTCGTTGTGTTCTTGTTCCAGCTTCTTATCTTCGTTCGGTTTCGTTTCTGCTGGTTGTGCTGCAGGTGCCAGCCCTTCTTCCTCAGCTTCTCTTCTACGGCGACGCCTAGCAGCAGCAAGAGCCGCTATTTTTTCAGAGTCAGCGTCCTGCCTTTCTTGTTCTTCCTTTCTAGCGCTTCTAGCCGTCTCAGCTTGGGCACGGAGTTCTCTCCGCTTACCTCCAGCAGCAGTCTCCTCACGGAGTTTATTTGCCATTGCGCTCCCTGATTCTAATATTTTCTCTCCAAGCCTTTCCTCGTTAGGTTTCTGTAGTTCTGCAGCAGGCCTATTTTCCTCCGCTTTTCTGGCCAACGCCGCCGCCTCGATAGGTTGCTCTCTTGCTGCAGCAAGCCTTTCTTCCTCCTTACCGCTTCTAGCCGTCTCAGCTATTCTTTGACTACGTCTAGCAGCAGACTCCTCCCTGATATCATCTGCTGCAGCCCCCGCGTTCGCTGAAGTTATTTGCTCAAGCCTTTCTGCTGTGCGCTTTTTTTCCTCAGCTTTTCTGGCTAACTCAGCCTGTTGGCGTGCACCATCAGCCTCAAGAATTCGCTTTTCCACAGCCACAGCGTTTGCCTAGCATTAGACCGCTGCGGATTTTGTCTCTCAGTTGCTACCTCCTTGAAGAGTATCTATTGCACAAGAAAATAAGTAGAACACTTCTCAAGCGATAAGAGACCTAGCAAGCAGGCAGACTTACTTATAGACAAAAGAGAGCAGACTTCTCTCGAAAGCGATAGGTGACGACACTTGAAATAAGGGCCATAATCCAAACTTTCCTCATCGGGCTGTCGCCTTGCCGCGGGGGAAGAGGAGCTTTCGCTCGGTCTCCTCATCGTCTCTTTCGCTCGCTGCTCTTCCGGGGTTTCCTTTTCAGCTGAGAGATTCTGCTTGCCCCACCCCAACTTCTTGACGCCACTGAAGCCAGCGGCAAAGGCACGGACGCCAGCGGCAACCGCTTTCTGCTGGACGAAGCTGGTTGCCGCGGAATTCTTCTCGATTTGGTGGCCATAGAAGTCTGAATTGTTCACACTCGCGAAAGAACTCCTACTCCTGTGAAGGTCCGCGTGGTCTTCATCCTCCTCCTCCTCCCTCTCCAAAAAAGTGGCCTTCGTACTAGACGAGGTAGAATTTTCACAAGTAGAGGCCGTTGTGAAGTTACTAGAACTTGTATTACTTCGAGTGTTCGCCATCGTCGCAGAAGTACTGGCAAAGTTGCTCGCTGTACTACTAGTGTTCAACGGACGCCGCGCAATAGAAGCTGATGTGACGTTAGGTGGGTAAATACGAGTCGTGCTCGAGTGAGAACTTCTTAGATTCCTCGTATCATTTCGATTTGCCGAGGACGTTTCATTGGAGGTACTCAGACGACGATCCCCACCACACGAGGAGTCTCCATCCTGTTCGACATCCACCTCTTCGCCGATTGATGTATCTGCAGAAGACGCATCATCGCTTCTCCTTGTTCGAGGGCAAGGCGCATCAACTTCTTCAGTGCTTGAAGGCCACGCATCATTGTTCCGCTCCATTCAGTGTATGAAAGCGTAGACCTTCACTCAAGAGGCACGCACACACTTGCTATAGACGCAGGTGGTTGAAAACTTCTAACAAATTCTAAAAAGAGAAACACAACTGGTTACTAACTGGGTTCGATAACGAGTATAAAAAACTGACTCTACTAAGTGATATGGAAAAGTGAATCTAATAGACTATGATGAAATCAACTTCTCTTGTGCTAACCCTGTGGGTTCTAGTTCTTAGACTAAAGAAATGCTTCTTCTTCGACCCTCTTTTATTCGTACTATCAGCATGCTCTACTTGAGGTAACGATAAAACGTCTCTACAGACGCCTTAACCTAAATATTATCAGCGTTGAGATGATCGCCATCCTAAGATCATTTTGGGAAAAGACTTCGCCTAGGGATGAGTTCTCTCTTAGTTTTAAAGTCTGTCACGTTCTTAGCTACGCAATGCTTCTGGGGAGAAATGCCCAATAGTAAGAGTGTTCTCGCCTAAGTAGGACAGGCGTAAGATGTTATGCCTATGGGTGCATGCTCGCGCTCGCCAGCATAGTATCTAGTCCTACAAAAGCCGCAGAAATTGAAGGAATAGGGAGATGAAGAACAGAGGTGCAAACCAAATGAAAGCAGTAGTAGAGACTGTCTCACTCGTAAGTACAGAGGTAACAGCTTCATTCGTAATATAACCTGTCGAATTCACGACGTCGCGTTCCTCAGAAGTTGTGCTCGTCCTGCGACTAGGCTCAGGAGTTCTTGCATCGACGCGAGGACCTCCTGCTGCTGTACTACTACTAGTACTACTACTACCACCAGCACCTCCCTTAATAGTAGTTTCTCCACTACTCTTCGTCGCGGTACTAGTACCAGAAGAAGTATTCTTTTTAGTATTAGTTCTTCTCCTTGTGCTTTTTTTTGTACTAGTACTCTTCGTTTCCATGAGCAGCCTTCTTGTGGTACTCCTGCTGTCTCTTCTTGATCGTGCAGAAGTTTGAGTACTTCTAGTAGTTGTATTAGAATTTCTTGCGCAATTGCATTCTTCAGCACTCATTCTTCACTTCTTGCATCCTATAATCATATTTGGATGAAATAGGTCAAGAATAGAATGGTTGTACTAGCTACTAGTGTAGCAGGATGCAATGGCGTGGAAGCCCTTAACTGTTGTACTATTTGTCGCTCCTTCTTTATGAGTTGCAGCGGAGCTGAAAGATTTGCTCTCTTCGACGACGTTTCTTCTGTGTTGATGTGAGCCACGAAGAAACTTCGAAGTTCTAGTACGACTAGAAGTCGCTCTTGCTCGAGCTTTACTTGCTTTATGCCCTGTACGTGCTCTTCCTGTCGTAGCTTTTGGATGGTCGTAGCTTTTGGATCCCCTGAGACGACGTTTCCGAATCCTTGTCTCGGTGGGGGGCGCGCGATCATCATGATGTATTTCTTCACGTTGACGAGCTCCTTCTTTAGAAGCGCCAGTGCTTAATATCCATCGCGGTCCCCTCATCTTGGCCCCTTAAATTATATTACACTGTTGAGTATTGTTACTACTTCATAGGATTAGAACAGGGCAAAAGGGCATCAAGATGCCGAGAAAGATGGATAAAAGCTGACCATAAGAACTTCTGGCTCGTCTTCATCGGGTATCGTTGCTGAAGTACTAGATGTATTGGTTGTATGATGTGGATCATGATCATCCTGTTTCTTGTGCTCAGCAACAAATAAAGATGTATCTTCCTCAGATCCTGTAACAGCTCGTGCGGCAACAAATAGAGATACAGATATTACATCACCAACTTGATGAGGTCCTCGTGGCGGACCGCGAAGTACTACAGCGCACAGTTACATTAGAGCTGGTTGAAGAATCTTCAATGAAGATGTGGCTGCCATAGCTAAGACTTCTAGTATTATTTCGATTTCTTCACCTGCTGTACTAGGTATTAGACCAGCATTTGGCAGCTTGGACTCATTATATTGTATAATGTTGACTTGACGACGCGTACTTTTTGGACTCGAATTCCGTCGAGGTAAAAAAAATAGCGTGCTATAATAAGCATGAGAAAAGTTCCCAGAAATGCAGGCCGCACCATGATCTAATTATGATCTTCCACATCTTCTATCGGAAAAGCCTCACCTTTCTTATAATATATTCTCGGCACCCACACCGATGTAGTAGAAAAAACATGGAATGGAGTTTCGCCCTGAGCAGTATTTCGAAACTGTCGATGGGACGATTTAATACAGTACTTCACTCCCGAAGAAGGGCACCAGTAGAAAAAACAAGATACTAGTATTAACATAAAAATATAAATATAAGCCTGAGGAAAAGTTATATGGCCTTAAAGATAGTCTATTCATGAAGCTGGCACGGCCACGCCTTCTCGAGGACCTCCCTCCGCTTCTCCCCCGTGGTGTAGTCATTAGCCTTCTTTCTTGAGGTCCACAGCACATGATCGGACAGGTGGAGAAGGAGCGAGTAGAAGAAGAAGAAGTGATGTCTTGTAGACGGAACTCACACTACAGCATGCGTCTGTCATCTGTTCCTCGAAATAAGCCTCGTCAAGATGTTGATGTCTTGTAGAAGGAACTCTCACTACAACATATGCGTCTGTCATCTGTAGTTCCTCGAAATAAGCCTCGCCAAGATGTTGATGTCTTGTAGACGCGGAACTCTAACTACAACATGCAGTAGTCTCTTCCTCGAAAAAAGCCGCGTCAAGACGTTCGTTGTGGTCATTCTTCTTATCAGATTTTCATTATTTTACTTTACTTTTACTTCAGAGTGCAAAAATCCTAGACGGGGTGAGCGTGAGACCGCCCTGCTCTATGCACTCATCCCCACTATTTTCAAGAAGAAGAAAGAAGGATTTGATTGCTCGATTGACTGACTGATTAACTGATTGATTCATTGCTCGATTGACTGACTGACTCCTGGTTGGTTCTTGTTGGATCAAAATTTTTGGTTGTGATTGAAGGTGATGTAGCTGATTAGAGTTGCTGGGGAAGGACTGGAGGTGCTGGGGAAGGACTGGAGGTGCTGGGGAAGGACCTTATCATGGGTCATTGATCTATTACAAGAGGACGAGAAGAACGGGAGGCGGAATCAAGTCATACCACACCTTGTCCGAGTTTTCAACTGCAGCTGCAAACTTGTTGATCTTTAAATACCGACCCTGCTCAACTCCACAGAGGCAGCACCTTGTTAGGCTACATCGATCTTCAACGAGAGAGTACATGTACAACCGAGGAGGAGAAAAGTTTAAATAATACCGACATATAGTTACAGAAGAGACCGACTGTGATTCACCTTGACATCAAGTATTGAGAACGAGACCGATCATTCTTCTTTATGAATTACTTCTTCTACTCCAAGTCCTTCTACATCCAAGACAATCAGCAGGACTGCAGTCTTCCACATCCAAGACAATCTTCCAACAAGAGTAACACGACCAAGAAATTATTTAGAGAAGCAAATGTAGACTGTTGACAGTGTCTGTTGAGGACGGAGAGATTTAATCTTCCAAGAGTAACACGACACGACGTAGAGGAGGTCTGGTTCAAGAACTTCTACAACACACCAAGACAAACCGGATGCAAATATGAAAAAGGAGAAGGACCTTGTTCTATAATGAAGATCTTCATCTCGCCATTCTGGTGCTTGCTTGCGTAGGTAGTGCCATTTAAAAAAAACCTTAAAAATCATGTTTAAGATTTATTTTGCTAGAGAATGTGCTAGGGGAGATGACAGATGATATGATCATTTTACGATACACACAAACTGTACGTCGTGTAGGTGTACCTACTCAAGAACGATTTAAAATATGAATCCTCTAGCAGCTCGAGCACTTCTAGAAGCCACTTTGCCACTTGCACTTCTCCCTTCTGCCTTGATGTTGTAGCACCTTGAACAAGCCTCTAGTAGTTGTACTTCTCGTCTTCTCAACATAATTATAGCCAACATTCTTATTTCATCTAGTAGAAAACCTTGTTCATCTTCTCATAGCTGCTATTTTTATTTCTAGTAGAAAACAAGCACAAGTACATCAACTACTTTTTCTATCTTCCAGCCTCAATCCTTCTTGCCACTTAGCCCCTTCCCCACCAGTGGCCCACTCCTAAGAACGTAGCTTAACGCTTTCTCCTCCTTTTGCTTTTGTTTGTTCCACTTTGAGGGTTTTGTTCGTTCCTCATGCTCTGAAGTTGTGCCTCAATCGCTTTTTCTCTGAATTTCTGTAGAGCACGGATGTTCGAGTTGACCAACTTTCTTTGGGATTCGCGGAATCTGCGAGCCAAAGGGCCGAAGACTGGATGCTGCTCCCACATACCATTCGACTCGGGTTGCATCACCTCGCTCTTCAACGTCTCGTCTGAGGGGATCAACAACTGGGAAAAAACGTCCGACATTAGACTTCTAGTACCGCGTAAGCATCTTCCTTGTTGAGTGTCACATGATCCTTGGTGGTCCGTTTTTCAACTAGAAACGGAAGATCCAAGGATCATCATGTTCTCATTGAGGAGATGCTCAAGCGGTTGTAGCCTTAACAACAATGTATCGCAAATCTGAACGTCAGCGGCACAACACGGCATACTTGGGTCGAAAACGAGGCTGCATCTGAGCTCGTCGTTGCTGGTGGAACACGAATTACTATTCTCTTGTTGTGGTTCTGGTAAGTCTTCAATCCCGTGGAGAATGCGTAAGCAGGTGAGCAATTTGGAAGACAGTGGCCAACGAGGGCCCCCACCAGTAGTTGCAGATGAAGTTGCACTGCTAGAAGATGAAGCTGTACTCGTGCTGGCCTGATGAAGATTACAACAACTACTGTCGTGAGTTGTATCCTGACCTTGATCCATCTCATTCTCTGTAATTTTATCCAATTCACCAAACATCTTCACATTGTAGTTATTCTCCGGGACAGGATCCCCCTCCGGAGCCTCCACGAATGCCAGTACGTGATCAGTCGTTACTTTGTGCAAACGCAGCATGAGTCGAGTCTCGGCATCTTCCGGCTCACCCAGCTCCAGTTGCAAGGTATCATTAGAAGCACGACTAAGAGAAATCTATCATCTTCGGTGGTGGACTCATCTTGGTTCTTGTTCCCGCTTTTGCCTTGTTAATTGTATGTATTGTATGTAAAGAAAGTGCTCCAAGATAGTCCCTGATAGTTTGATCGTTGGCCTTGAGGGGAAAGTTGTGCAGAAGGACAGGATCAGAATCAGAATCACAGACGCAGTTGATGAATCCGGTGGAGCTCGTCTAACAAACTAGGAATCAAAAAACAATGAAAGAAGCGCACCCGGGATGCTACAGCCCGTGGCGTCCTATGATCTTCGGTGGACTCATCTTGGTCCCCCATTTTCACAAAAAACGGGAAGATGACCAAGGTATTATACTTACTCCTGGGAAGATGGATAATTTCATGTAGGAGCCTTAATATCAGCGGGATTCTCCTCGAAGCAGAAGCCGTAGTAGAGTAGCAGCTCCCAGTTCTGTAACGGTCCATAATTGAGGCAGAGCTGGCGCGAAGGAGGAACACTGGCAGCAGCTTGCAGGACAAAGGATTTCCCTGTCTGGTCGAATCGCGGGACCATCAAGGGCGATCTTCTATCGTGATTCAAGTAGTCCGCGACGGGGGCGAGACAAGTTAAACGCGTCGCGACGGGGAGTACTTGGTCAATCACTTGGAAGAGCGGCTTCTTTTCGACGTCAAGAGTGTGAGTGTCCTGCTCAGCACAACAAGACGTTGAATCCCCATCCGAAGAATCTTCAACGTCACCAACAACCTCAACCTCCTCAGAGGCTTCTAGTGCGAGCTTCTTCGCCAGCACACGCTCAGCATCTTCCATGTTGTCCGCAGCAATCTCAACGTCGAGTCCGTGGTGTCCCTCCGTTAGGTCACCTTCATCAACCTTATGTAGAAGTTGACCATCTTCTCGCACATCTTCTTCGTCTTCACTCCCGGAGCAACCAGATTCATTTTCATCTTCTTCACCAAGGTGTAGCAATTCGGCCAGCAATTTCCACGCGCATTGAATGTTGGGTTCTTTATCTTCGTGGAGATCTGCGGCAGTAGCAGTAGGTCCGACAAGAACGCTATCAAGCTGAAATGCACGGGAGTCGAAAATGCATTTTGCCCAGAGTACGTCATCTAAATCAACATCTACTTTCAAACCCGGCTGCTCAACTTCTTCCGTCGAAGAAAATACGCGTTTTAGCATTTCAAAGAACTCATTCATCTCCAGCCTCGCAGTCTCTACTTGGTAAATCACTTGAGGACAATACAAATTCTCCAACGCTTCCTCAGGCCAGGTAAGCAAGGTTGCTGGGCAATCGTCTAGAGTTTGCGGTAGACATTCAGAAAGAAGAAAACGCATGCGACCGTGAAGGAGTTGTTGGTCAAGGGCATGCTCCTCTTGTTCCTCTTGCTTCACTCCTGTTGAGAACGTTTTAGACGACGGACCTGCTGACTGGCAAGGCGATCCGCCATGTTCGGGTGATGATCTTCCTGAAGACGAGGACATGGTTGTACTACATGTTGCCGGGGAAGCCTGACCCTCTCCTTCTCCTTGTCCTCGTAGGAAGCGTCGCAAGAAAATCAAATATGCCATCGCGATTTGTTCTTCGGCAGCGTCTAAGAAAGCAGCACATTTTCCTGCAGCAGAGCTTCTTCTTTCTTCTACAGCATGTACATGTGGTTGCTTTTGCGCTATTTCTCGTAATAGGCGTTCGTAAAAGGGACGAAACGTTCTGTCTTGAGCGGCTGTCGCAGCATTGAGGAGGTGTTTGGATGGTACACGGATAGCCACATCTCCAGATGTGATGGCAGATTTTTCTTGTTGAGCAGTAGAGGCTACTCCTACTTCTGTTTCTCTACCTGTAGCAGTAGTACAAAAACTTCTAGAAATATTAGTGGTATACAGTCCATCCCCACTGTTTTCGTCAGACCCAACACGTAAAGCTGGGTGCAGATAAATCCTATTCTCTTGTTCAGTGGTGGTCGTTGTTGTCACCATATCAGGATGTGCATCGCGCAGTTGTTCGGGAATTCTAGGAGGTTCGTCACCACTGCCATTCATTTGGGTGTTACCAGGATTACAATAACGGTCTAACCATAGTTCTACCTCCTGAAGACGCTGTCGCAACTCATTCTCTTTTAAATCCATCTGGTCCTCAAGAACTTGTAGTTTCTCGTTTTCTTGCAGCTGCGACAGTAGAAGCTTGTGTAGTAGGAAGAGTCCGCGACGGGCGTCCCTGGCATGCCCAAAATACAGGTCGTGCACGTTCATCGTAACCACGCTGGCTATTTCCAGTAGTGTGCGCGTCGAAATAGAAGTACTAGAAGGGGCACCACTAGCTTCATCTTCAGAAGGAGACGCTGCGAGCACAGGAATCTTGACTTCCACACACTCCTTTCCCACATTGTGACGATAAGTTCTTGGAGAACAATTTCCCTTGGCAGTTGTCGTGGTACAACTAAGCAAAACTTTTTGTATCAAAGCCAGTTTTTCTTCCGCATAGGGGTCAGCGCCTGAAAGAGGAAAGGAAAGGACCATCATGTTGTCCTTGGGGATGGTCGTTGAGGATGACGTCATCTTGTTGTCCGAAGTCTCCTCGTCGACGTGGTCTACATCCATGTCCGTCATTTTTTGTTGTTGGAGTGTTTCGTTGTATGTTGTAGGAGGTCGGTTGATTATAATTTTTGAAGTACTTAAACAATGAATTTATTTTTAGCTGATGACAGACAGTGAATAACACTTGCAGCCATCTACCTTCTAATGCTGATATTAGTTGTGAAATGACATCAAACCAGCTCTAAAAAGGTACTACTAGAGCTGTAGTCGCAGGTGAAAAAAGCGGTGAAGAATACACTTCCTGGAAAGCAGAGATGATGGTCGAGTGAGCAAAAGATGATCTGTTTTTCCTTATCCTCTTTAGAAGATCTTGTTGCAGTCGCACATATTGTTGCTCAGAACAAAATATTAACATGATCGTAGAGGATGCAGTTGGGAACAACAATAGCGAATGAAGATCTACATGATCTTTGAGTCTGCACCACCAGCAAGAACTGCAACTCGAGGATTCTTGATCGCAGCGACGAAGATGAATTCAATCTCATCATTTCAAATTGTGTTTGGTTATATTACGAGAAGGAACATCAGAATGTGGTGGACGATGGAGTCGTGGAAATGCATTAGGTTTAGGGTTGTTGGAATAAAAAAATAAAAGACGAACCACAATCACAATGATGATTCAGGATGCAAAATGAAATAGGGGGATTGAATTTGTGGTGATTTGTTTTCAGGGACAGGGCAATGTCGACGTCATGAGGTGATTGAATCGAAGAGGAGGATGTCGCAGACGCAAAGGTCATCGGTCAAGAACCAACTATATGGGTAAAAAAGTTTTCATGCCTTCGTTCTTGTCCTCGAGAAGCTCACGAACGTCCATGGAGTAGTGTATGTAGAGGAAGTTCTCCAGTGCTGTCCATGATCGTTGATCTTCGTGCATGGAGTACTAAAAAAATGTGATTTTCATTCTTAAGATTATGATCTTCATTTCTTGCCTCCTTTCTTCATCATTTTCATCCCCATCTTTTTTGTCCCAGCAGCCTTTGCCTTTCCCACTATGTTTTTTGCTGCTCCTCGCTTCCCCATCAAGCTCGATACTTTTGCCCCACCAGTCGAGGCCTTCATTGCAGTAGCTTTACCCAACAATGGTTCGTCGTCAGAAGCGTCGTCGGAAGCAGTAGGCGAAGGATTGGGATTCTGCTGGTGTAATAAATAGTCATTTTTGTTATATATTATAATAAATTATCGCTTGCCAGTCGTGTACGTAGGCTAAAGGCATGGTCAGTCGACGAAGATGTGCCTAAAGGAAAATATTATGAGATTACGGAGTGAACACAAGCGGATAAATAGATGTGACTCAAATTATGAATTTCAATTTATTGTTTCAATTATACCCCTCCTCCTGGTTTAACTCGTTGTCTCGCTGCTGCTGTAACGGAATTTAGTTCTGCTGAGTTCGCCAACAGAATCTCATACTGATCTGGGTCGTAGTGTTGCCGTCTTTCTTCGAGATAAGTCTTGTATTTAGACTCGTCTGCGTCTGTTAGACCTAGCATAAATCCATCTTCAGGAGCATCTTCGTGTCCGCTTTCCCTTTCAAAACGGGACCAAGACGCTGCGCAAGATGGATCTATTGTAGCCTTAAATCTATCATCTCTTTCAGAACAGGATAGTCGTTCCTTGCCTCTTCGATAAACACTCTGGGGGGGCCAAGGTAACGTCTCTCTCCGATTTGAACGAGCGCTTGCCACACTCGACACCCGAGTAATTGCATCGGTGTGACTACTCGCTCTCCGTCGTCAGATTTTACGGTAGCCGCTCGCCCAATGCCGGAATTGGTGATCACTATGTTGGTGTAAGTGGGAACGAAGTATCATGCTGTATTAAAATTTGTTATTGTTTCCTGCAAGAATCATGATCAATACTGGACTGATTGTACTAGAATCATAGGAAGGTGGATGGGAGCCGTGGGAGCCGATCATTAAAAAGGAGGCCAGCTCTAGTCGTCCAGAGTTAATCCTCTAGTTAATCCTCGTCTAGAAGCTGTAGTTGTCCACTTCCAAAGTGATGAATCTTAGCTGTAGTCCACTGATCTTCCATGTCATGAATTCAGAACTCATACGCATACCTTGTCCCCAGTTGTTCGTTAATTTCGCTCTGTCCTTCTCCAAGGACTTTTTAAAGGATTCCAGTTCGTCGCGGCCAGCGCACTGTCGGCTGAAGGATCCTATGCGGTCGTTGAGCTCCTGCATCTCAGTCTCAATCTCCTCTATCTCCCTACCGAACTCGTGATACTTCTCCCACAAAAACCGCCGTTCAGCTGCCGTCAACTCGAGAAATTGGAAACCTGAGATGCATTTCTTCTAAACGGTCCGTCGTTGTGTAAAAAAGATTCTTCTTATAATAGAGTGATCAGGATTTAGTAAAAATGATGAGAATACTAGGCGATGATCTTCTTCGTAGTTTTCCTTATCGTCCTTCTTCTCAGACGAGGATGAAAGCTACTACTACGAGTACTAGCAGAAGCACTAGCATCTAGCAACATCGATATAATACTCACATAAAAAAAGGCGTAAAAAGGTAGAACTTCTACCAGGTGGCCAGGGGTCTGTGCGGTAGCTTGCACGAGTCGGCAATGATTCTACTGCGACGAGAGGTGGCGCATTCACACTTTTGTACATGTTCTCGTGCCGTTCCACTTGCATAAGAACTTGGTCCCATTTCTGTTGCTCTTTGCCAGCTCTCGGTGCCCTGCCACCAGTACCTCCATTGGCCGTTCCCTTTGTTTTGGAACCCGCTCCACCAGGTCCACCCATTTTTCGCTTTTTCGGTTTTCCATCGTCACTTGTTGTCGTTATGCTGATCCTTGAGGAAGTGTTGTCTTCATATTGGTCCTGCCAAGGTGCGACAGCGGGTTTTTGCGTCTGCTTCATCATGAAGTCTGCAAAGAGATTGTTATTACCAGATGAAGTGCTCGCATTTACACCACGACTAGACGAAGAGCTGCCGCCTGCTTGCTGCTGTTGTAACGATGAACTTGCGCCTGCTCCGAATGGTCCTCTTGATGCTAGACCACCAGCACTACTACCTCCTTTGGTAGAAGATGAAGGTTGAAATCCAACTCGATTAAGACCCACACCAGGTTGTTGACTTTGAGCTTGTTTCGCAAGTCTGAATTTTTCAAGCACACGGAATTCGGCTTGGTTGACAGCTCTTATATCAATGCGCTTGTAAGATCCTGCGCTGAAACCGTTTGGGTCCACTTTGATGCGATTCTTCATCTTAGCCGTCCACTCTTTTACTGCGCCTTCACTCGTACACTTTTTCGACAAAACGTTGATCAAAAAAATTGTCTGCTGATCTATCTCTGCCGCGGTAGGCGCCACGCTTGGAGCACTGACCCCCATGGTACTGGAGGAGGGCGGAGCAGCGCTCGGTGCGAATGCCATGGTGATAGATTAGCCGACGAGCAGGACTGACAATCCAGAACTCTTAATAACGTAAGAATCAACTTTGATGAACTGTGAATAGATTTTTTCGTAGCTAAGTTTTCATCATTATTACACGCAACATCTAAAATGCAGCTGTCGCAGCATGTGAAGATTAAGGAAGATTCAAGAATAGACGAACAACGGAACAACTTGGCCGGCTCATTTTGCCGCTGTTAACCGTCGAGTATCACGTAAAATGGGTTCGTGGATCATGTCTTCTGGTGTTGAATGATGACAAGTGTTCTTTTTCTTATCGGTTCAGCTTCTTTTCCCCGACAAACAATGAACAATATGAAAACACTTCTTTTCGACAAGGAATGAACTCAATACTTGGCCTTTACTTCAACATTATTGTCTTTTATTTCTTGCCAAGTTTCATGCTCACAGAATTGATTTCACACGCACGTAGCGACGACATCAGAGTGCATTTTTACTGACAAGTATCTGAATATGCTTGATGCTTAGGGTTAGGCAGCACATCACTGCAGTTCTCATCATTAGAGTTCTTTCGACTGTGAGTGTATTGCCTCAAGTCAATTGTTGCGCGTATCCAACAAAACCACGATCTTGCTCTTCAGCTTCCATCACGATCGCTAAACTTTCAGTCTTTTATTCTGATTTCATCTAGCGTTCTTCAAATATAGTTCGCATTTCTTTGGCGGATACTTTCTTCGAATATGATGCGACATCGCCCTTGTACTCGCAATTTCTTACAGTAATCAATGTGCAAAAATACTACTTAAGTACTAGGTACTACCTCTTGATGTGGTAAAGCTATTTTATCAAATGCATCAAGTTGCGTTCGTCGTAAAGTGCTACGCTTGATAGGGGGGATGCGGAGGGTTCAGTGTTGAAAAAAAGTACTAACGAGCTGCAGCCAGGAGAATCGATCTTCGTTTTTGTTCATCATCATGTTAGTTTTGTAATTTGCAAGTTTTAGTTAGAAGTACTCATTAAATCTATTCGCCAACCACAGTCAGCTGGTCCTTGTCTTCAAACAATATCCTCATATTCTTCCTGCAATTGGAAATGGTCATTAATTTGCTGCAGGAGAGAGACTCCCTCTCCTCCTCCTCCGCCACCAGATGAACTACTACGACGCATCAATTCTGACCGCAAAGAATCAACGTGCCATCCCCATCGATTGGCTGCGCCTTGAGCTGTCGGCAGCAACGATTTCAGCAAAGCGACGCGCTCTGGATCTCGCTGACGCAAATTCTGCAGCGTTATCTTTGCTGCCGCGTTTGCCCTAGCTTGCTTCTCAATAACGGAGCGCGGTGGAGGTGCTTTTTGGTTCTGCTCTTGTTCTGATGTGCCGGATTTGGATGACGATGAAGATTTTGAAGATGAACTACTTTCTGCCTCCAGCTCCGCCAAAGTCTTCTTGAGTTTTTCTTCTTGCGCAACTAGAGATTCAAATTGCTCTAGGCATTTTCGTTCGGAAGGCACCTTTTCGGGATTCAGCCAGTAGAGCGTACTCGCACCCACTTTCTCCGACAACACCTCATTCTCTGCTAGCAAGGCTTCCAAAATCTCCTTCAAAAAGGGCTGTCGGACACCCATAGAACCTCCTAGCTTCTCCAGATCCTTCATCGTGAACATATCACTCCCCATTCCACTCACCAATCGAGCACGCTTTTGCTCGATCGACATACCCGGAGCGCGCTTGCCTGCGCCTCCTCCACCTCCCGCTTTTGTCGGAAGAACTGTGGTACTAGTAGAAACTGCGGCTCCGCCACCCTGCTGTCCGGCTTCTTCGGCAGGAGGTGGCACTTGTTCGCTTGCTGCCGCATCAGACATTTTGCTTGTTGCTTGAATAGCTCTTCAACTTGTGTTATCCCAGCACAAGGAGCAGTTTTATTTGTTGCTTGAGGTTAAAAAGCTACGCTGTAAGTATCTATGCTCTTCCTACTGCTGACTTTTCGGGCGCCCCCGTCAAAAATATTTAAAAATTTGCATTTCTGTGTCGGGATAAAAGACGAAATCGACACTTTTCCCTTTATCGTAAGTAGCCACCTACTTCTTCACTCAACAAAGTCAAAGTACTTACTCGCCTTCTCTCAGGCGCGATCGGTTTCATATTCACTCAACACTCCATTTGAATTTGTCCGCCGAACGACGAGGTAACATGCAGCCGAGTCCGATGACTTACTGTTATTCGCAGAAAAAAACGGATGATTGACCACAACGATCGAAAGAGATGCAGACAAGAATCAGAAACGTGAGAAATGTCGACATTTTATGTGAGGTGGATGAAAACGTTTTCCTTTTCTAGTGCATGAAAGAATGAACATGCTAAGAGATGAAGAGTAGCACTAAAAACTATGCAATAGGAGTGGCAGGTTCAGGAATAAATATGGACATGATTAAAAGAGAACTGATGACGACGGCAATATCTCTATTTTTTTACTTCTACTTTCTCTGTACATTTTTATGGAGTCAGGCGAAGGAATAAATACGTCTAATCTATGATGTGCAGTAACAGTAGAGCAAGAAGTAGAAGGTGATAGCATCTATCATACTTGTTTATTTTGTGTACGAAGATCAGTGCGAAAATACCCAGGTCGTGCAAAATTGGAAAGCAAGCTTCTTGAGCTACTGTCCTACAACTACTGTCCTACATCCTCATCTGCAGCGACATATTCTGGTGTGATAGCGTCGATCCAGCCTGGCGTATCCCTTGACCATAAGAGTGGGTGACAGGAATGATCTCCCGGAGTACTAGAATTTAGCACTACAGTATCCCCTGCTCCGCAATTTTCTTGCCCGGGATACACCCGCATACCTAAACCAGTCGCGTAAGCTCGCAAGTAAATGAAATTTGCACGACCATGATAGGCTCGCTGTCTGTCGGCTGTCATCTTTTTTATCAACGTGTCTGCAGCTTCTTGGAAAGTGTCATCTTCGCTAGTTTTATCGCCCTCATTTCCCTGAGCTAGTAGTAGTACTTGTTCATCGGTACTATTACAAGAACAATTTTCTTTATGTTCATCGGTACTACGACATGCAGTATCTTCATGTTGTCTCACAGGAGGACGAGACTTAAGCATCAAAGGTTCACGTTCAGGAGTGCTTGTGCAGCTTCTGACGTTGGCATAGGCGTTGCAATTGCAAGTAGAAATACGGTCACGTCCACGTGCAGCAGAAGAGGAGGAGCCAAAGCTTCTATCCCTTCCTGTTACCAACAAAGTTCTCTCTCCTGGCATCAAAGCATCCCAAGTTTCAGCTAAGAAATGACGTCCAGCATTCGACGAATCCACGCGGCTCCAAAAACTGTCATACTTTGTTGAAAAACTCATCGGTCCGTCGATTTTAGCAAGTAGAAGGTGTTGTTGGTGGGACGATTTCTGTGTTGATGAGGATGCTGGTCGTGCAACTGCAATGTTATCTTGTTGCTGTAGCTGTTGTAGTTGAATCTGGTGTTGAAGAAGTTGCAACACCACGGTTCTTTTTAGTTGTGGCTTTACAACTCTTCCTGTCTCGCCCTGGTTGTCAACAAGATGCGTTTCAGTTTCTTCTAGATCCTTTTCCTGCTCGTCCACAAGTCCCAAGGACGAAGACGAATTCGATGAAAAAACAATATCTCCCCTATTCCAAAGCACGCTGGTTGCTAGATGGCAGTCGCTGCCTACGATGTCGAAGGTGAACGTTTTGGTCTTTTGTTCAGCCTCCGTTGGCGGTGGTGGGCAGTAAGGCGCAGAGTTCATCTCAATGCCTGCCAGGAAAGGCATGGCACCCAATGCGCGAAACGGCGTCGAAACATCACTGCTGGATTCATGATTAATTGTAGGAACAGTGGAGGAAGTGGCTGTAGAAGTAGGAGTAGGAGATGCAGCAGATGAAATTGCTGTAGCAGCTCCTTCGGTAGGGGATGCAGCTGCGGTTACCGATGGAGCTGGAGATGGAAAAGTCTTTGTATTTGGTCCTCCAGTGCTTGATGTAGGAAATGGAGAGACCAGAGTTGTCAGCATAGCATGGCTCTGCTGCTCCGGAACATCAAGACGAGTTCTCTCAGAAGTAGAATGCGAGTCCGACGTAGGAGTTGTCGACGCAGAAATGCTCGTCGATGACGTCAAGGATGCAGAAGTGTTCGGCGATGACGTCAAGGACGAGGACGTTCTTCTTCTTGCAGGAGGTGTAGTAGGTACTAAAGAAGAAGATGTAATTGTTCTTGTTGCCAATGACTGAGAAATGAACAAATACTGGTCATCCCAGAAGAGCAACGACCTCATACTCTTCTCACACTCTCGGACACGTTGCGCTGAGTACGCGATAATCAGCCTCTCATCCAGTGGAGGCTTTTTATCTGGAACTGGATGTTCTACAGCTTGATGTTTTTGGTCTACTTCGTCATGTTCTTGTTGACTGCTGCTAGTACTAAAAAAGCTTTTTGCGAATCGTGCATTCCTCTGACGACAGCGCATTAGCAAAGTCGAACCCTGCTCCTGATCACTGCCAAAACCACAGGCACAGAGACGGTCTAACAGCACCTCATCGTACTGCTCAGTAATGTGATGAGCACCAGCAGAAGAAGAAGTTGTCTGTTCTTGTATATGCTGTTGTGTTTGCATGGAAGAGGTTGAGCCATCAGCAGAAGTTTCCCTTTCCTCTTCTAGTTGCTGTTCTTGCATCGAAGAAGATGCTGAGCCATCGTCCTCCTCCAGCTTTTCTAGCAAGTTCGACAAGCATTTTTCTGCCCACATGTGAAAAATAGACGTAAACGCGGAGACACCGCCAGCAATGTGAAAGTGGCCTTTTCCTGGTGGGTTTAAGTGCAGATCGCGACGACGACAAGGCGGTAGCTGAAGGTGGTCAGTGTGAATATTTTCGTTGTCCATTTTCTCTTTCGTAAGGAACCACGACCTCCCCTGTCGTGATGGTGATGCAGATACTACAGGGCAGACTTTTTGTTTTGCGTCAGCCAGAAAACTCGTGTAGGACTGAGAAGAGTCGTCTTGCTCGGCCGAGATGAAGTCTTTCTCGCTTTTCTCTGTACCACAAGGTAAGGAATCAAATTTGAACTCACTGGTCCTTGCAGCGCTTGCCAGTAAATGAGTTCTGGTGCTGAAAGTCGGGTTCTCTGTATTTTTTTCTACTGTATTCTTCTCTGTTCTATTCTTGTCCATCTCCTTGTCCAAGTGTTTCCATCCCACTTGAGCCGAAGCACCGCCAAGGGACAGAAAGTGCGTCTCTTGAGCTGCAACCGACTCCAATCTGGCTTCTTCTACGCCAGGGATGACACGCATTGCCGCAATCTTTAGCTTGGTCGTTGAAACACTGTTGTTCCCATCCTCCTCGTCAATGATATCAGTTGCCTGCTTTGCCGTCTTGTTGGACCTAGCTGCTTTTGCTGTACTTGTACTTTTCGGTGATTTTGATTCCATCTGTTGTGCATGAGTAGACTCGTACTCAAGTAGTTTCGATTTGAGATTCGAAAAAGCGGCGTTTGCGTCACCATTGTAGACCCGCATCCCTGCTGTGGCGAAGCCAGCGAAAGTAAATTGAGTTGTCGGGACAGTGAAGAGATTGCGAAGAGTGTTCTGCCCTCTTGCTCTTTCCAGATTTTGTCTGCCCATATTAGAGCTCAGCTTTCATTGGTCACTGACTCCGAACGGAAGCGACCCCCTTCAAAGCTCTCCCCTTTCCCTTCGTTTTCCCCTGTTCTCTCAAGGGGTCGGCTCTTCGATCTCAGTGACCAACCCCAATGACCATTTTGAAAGTTGAGCCTTAACCATATCATGTAGGAGAGATTGAACTGCACCAGCTATACGTCTGCAACCTTCATCGTCCTTTTCAGTGGTCCCAGGAGTAAAAATGCTAGTGGTTGCACACGCAATCGAGAGTGCCGGTTGAAGTTTCAACCCCTTAGGTGAAGGCGCCATGTAAGGATGTGAAGCTAGTAAATCGTCGAGAGAGACACAAGAAGAGTTTTTAGTATTTCCATTTCCATTTTTGGCAGAAGAGGAGGACGACGAATCAGTTTCAGTCTCATTTTTGAGAGAAGAAGTAGGAGAAGACGTTGATGAATCCCTTTCACTGAGGCTTTGATCTAACAACAGTTGTAGCTCAGTTTTGGAGGACCCAAAATCAGCACGAACTAGGTAGTTGCAAGTCGTGGAAGAACTAGAACTGGAAATCCCGGAAGAGAGCCCTGGAGCAGAATCGGGTAAGGAAGAATTGTCTTTGATATCACCCTTTATAACTGCGCCAGCAGATCCACCTCCACCAGGTTTAGAAGATGACGGTGTGTCAACAACTTCAAGTTCACCTGTACGAGTAGCCGCAACATAGATTGCAATAGGCAGGAGAACTAAAAGCACGGTAAACGCAAAAAGAAGTAGCATGGCATGGCGACAAGAGCGATTCGGGGTCAAACTGGAACAAGATGGGTAGAGGTCTACTTGTTCAGCAAGTACAGCATCTACTTTTGACGACGTATCTTCTTCTTGATGGTTTGCGCTAGAAACAACCACGTCGCCAATGCCATCGTCTAGATCTAGTACTGCGCTTGCGGTCTTGTCCTCCAGGGATTCGGCTTTACCGGTTTCAAGAACGATAATTCTTGTCATCTTCTACAACTAAGTCTGTTAGTGAAATCTTCTCGGCCCGTAGTTAGTAGTCGTGGTGGAATATCTTCGTGATCTTCGTGACGGCCGCAGTAGTACCTTCCTTGCAAGTAGTCGTGTAAAAGAAGTTTCTTGTGTATCTCTCTTTTTGGTCTCTCCTACATAAGCAGAACCCTGAAATTTTCTGTTTGTCATCTGATGAGAGTGTAGAGGACATCAGAGGGGAGAAAAGTATGCTCTATTCATGAACGGCGTCTATTCCATCTGCTTAGGCAGACCAACATCACGGCTATCCCTTTGCCCATAAAAGCGTGTAAGTAGCCTTGAGGGGAGCCTCGATCCTGGTCTGATAGATGCAAAAAACATCATCCATAATTTTGCTAAGGTGATTGATCTCCCGTTGCTTACTCAGTTATCATCTCCATCAGACATCAAAAATGCCATCCCTCAGTTTGAAACTGAGGGAGTTGCTTACTCAGACAAATCCAGACGCTTCTCGTTTCCTGACACAAAAAAATCTGACGCCGCACGCAGCCGTTGTAGTCGAGTTCTTTGAACATCAAGGAGGGAAGAAACACTTCTTCGAATCGTGAGGTCCTCTTATACAACATATACATAGAAGATACAATCGCATCGTGGCTGCCACGAATCTTGTTCAACTTCATCAACCATGTGATATTCGGGCAAAAAACTATCGATCCTACCACAATAAATAGTCATCACGGAGGACGAGGATAGCGTCGATGGATTTCTATCACGATTGAATGTTGTGTATAAGTATTTACTCCACTATGTATAAATATCGGCTCGGGAAGAGCATTTTTCTCCTACAGCAAACGCACTGCCCTCTCCTAGCTCGGAAGCAGAACCTCCTTCCTACGATAATCGTGGCCAACGTAGAAGGCTTTGTAAAACGGCAAGCTCAGCAAAGCCACTCGGTCGTCGGGCTTCTCGTCCACTTCGAAGCAGTGTTTGAAGTGGCGGCCTTTCCCTCCGGCACAATAGCAGTAGTCTTTAGGTGTCAAGAAGTACCACTTTTCTTCTCCAGTATTAGACGTAGGGTCTTGGTGTTTCTGTTTCCCGTTTGTTCGGCCTTGCCTTCACCCTTAGGAGCCGCAAAACAAACGGAAACGGTAACAGGCACACCTTTATTCACCTACCCTTAACAGTACCTTCGTCCCGGACAACACGAAAGCCGACTGGCGGTCCATTCTTGCAGACGTTGCCGCTCTTCTGAAATTCTCGTTCGAACAGGTCAAGCAACGGCTTAGCCAACGCAATCAACGAAGCTCCAGTGTCTATTAGCGCTAGTCTTCTTCACTATGATCCCTCGACATTTTTGAGTGGAGAGTTCGCCTGTTTGCCCCTATTTAGTTTTTCCTTCCCCTCAAAGAAGTCAAGGGATCATGGAACTCCACTAAGCACTATGAAGTCCTCCACAATTTCATGTTCGTTGGAATTACAGTGATGGTGATCAAGAAGTAGGACTAGCCTTAAGTCTAGGGCGACTCGGTACCTCATATTCTCGTTTTTTTTGGCTGAGACAGCGGATGCTGGCACGATCCGTTTCAGCCTCCCTGATGCCGCGTCCCAGTCATATAAGCCGAAAGGCCGTCGCTGCAATTTCATAGTATACCTTTTCTGCTTCCAAGCACGCCAGTCTTGTTCGTGTCTAACAGTGTCCAGGTTTTCGTTGTAATTCAAGTTAGACCTGGCCTCCACTCATCGTGAAGAGCATCTTTTTCCCTGAAACAAAAGGGGACCAAAGACGAGGATGCTTCTTATAAGATGAATTACGGTGAGCCAACATAATCAAATTGTTACTGTCGTCTTTTGCCGAAACGATGGTGTCACCAATCCGAATGGTGGTTACATCCAAAGCCCAATAAGGCGAATGGAACCGCAAATGGCTTCTGAGCGCGGCCCAAGAATACTTCTTTGGATTTTGTTGCTGCAGCTGAGGTAGGTGCTGGATAAACGCAGGAAACACTGCAGACTCGAATGTTCCCGCTGCAACATGTGTCCATAGGGTGAGCCGCGTACTACTTTGTTTCATTTCTTCTCTCAGGTTTGGATGGTACTGGTCCATATATTAGATCTTCCTAGAGGAATCCATCTTGGAGAAAGTCATCTTGTGCTGTCTCTTTTTGTCCTCTTAGAGAGTGCCCCAAGATGCTTTTATTGAAGATGTTACAAAACGACAACTTGATTGAACAAGTCAATCAGTTTGCCCGTTTGTAACTAAAGATGGATCATGATTCCCTTTCCCGGAAGCCGTAAATATAAGAGACAAAGAGATCTTGCAATGCGTCCCAATGTTCCTGAGACGAAGGCTCTTCCAGCCCTCTCGCAATAGGGAAGCGGAGCAAGTCCTTGGAATTTGTAGGTAGGGCGTTGATGATCATACGCGGACTGTCTTGCCAATGGCCATCCACGTGGGTTAAATCGAAGGAAAACACCGAAGGATAATTTGCACCCAGACCGCGATTACGTGCGTCCGCTGCGAAATGGTCAAACCACGGGTTCCGATTCTGTAATTCTTAACGCTAGTAGTTTTTCACTTCAGTCTCAGTCTGAGTAAGTTCATCCCATAATATTTTGTTTGAGTTCCCCTTGTTCCCCTTAAGTATTTTCCCCTTCGAGAACATGAACTCTCAGGCAGGGGACTCCACTCACTGAGTACTCCAGACGGGATAGTGATAAACTTCTTCTAGTCTTAAAATTCAGTGTTGGGAATCTCCTGAAATAGTCCGAAACTTAGACCCATGACTCCTGACGGCAACGCGCAGAAGCCGACACTACACTGCGTAGCGCCAATAGGCACATGCAACAGGGTAAATGCTTTTTCCGGGTCTGTGTTAAGGCGCAACTGCTCAATAGCCCCGTTTCCACGCACCGCGCTATTAGAGCTCGAAACAATCTACTTTTTGTTCCCTGTATTTATTCTCCCCATTGTCCTGCTTCTAAGAAAGACATTTTTATAGGGGGGAACAAATACCTCGTCCTCGTAGATATGATGATTGAAACCGAAATCTGCTTACTAGACCAACATTATCAGTACACTTCGACTTCGTCGTACAAGTGAGTTGTATCTATAAGTCACATCGTCGTAGAAATGACAGTGAGCAGCTGTAATGTAATTATAATAAATGTCTTGTTTTTTAGACGATGGCGGATTTAATAATCTTCAGATCTTGTCAACTTAACTAGAAAAAACACTCTCCTCGATTGCTGTATGTATATATAAAAATAAGTCTGAGCCGTAACAATATGCGATTCTTTCACGATGGTCCCCTGTGCATGGCCAGTGACGTAATTCATCGTGAAGGACCCTAAGTTATTCGCAACCAGGCTTTTCGATGCCTGAAAAGCATTCCCAGGAGTCGAAAAATACGTCAAGGATTAGAACTCAGTCAAGCGCAACAAGAAAGACGTCAAACACTACAATCCAAAGTAGAGTAGAAGGGCGACGAAAAGCACTTCAATCCAAAGCAGAGCAAAAAGGGCGACGTCAAACACTACAACTTACATCTTTTCGGCCCTCAGCTCATCTACAGTGTCCATTTTCCCATTTGTTGAAAACAGATGTTGAACATATTTTTGCATTTTTACCGATGAACTGATCTGATCATGATGTGGTCACTTTCCCACTTGAAAACAGCTTAACGATGAACTAAATAACAGTATGCACTACAACTGGAGATGACCGTTACAGATGAAGTAAATAATGACAGATGAGCAGATTGGTTAGAGGTTCGATGAACTAAAAAAAGTACAAGATGGATAATTGAGTGAGGGGGCCTTAAAAAGAGCCGCCGGCTGTGTCCACAGTGACCAAGAGATTCTCTGCTTCGCTTACTCCAACCCCAAAGTCCATACGGATCCCGAAAGCATGAGTTTAGAGCTGTCTTAACAAGTTAGGCTAGTCATCTTGAAAAGTAGCATCTTTGCTGTGCTTTCTTAGAGGTAGGCTATTGGTGCTCGTTTATCCCGTTTGTTATGCCTGTCGCCCTTAGCAGAGCCATAACAAACCGTAACGAAAACACCTTTAACCTTTAACTTTCTAAGAAGATGAAAAGGGGACCAAAGAAGATGCTTCTCTAGATGAGTTGCGTGCTGTTGTCCCCGTTACCGTCGTTTATGATGACCGTAGACGTAGAGACGACGTGATGAATTACTAATAATTATATTATTTTATTAAGTGGTTCCCCAGATGTATGAGTATTAGTATTATTGTCGGACACTTAATACTGTCTAGGCCTTAATGGTAGTACACATCTCCGCTCGAGGATGAAGATGCTCCCGCTCGACGGTTTTTCCTGCCACCTTCGAATTCCAGTGGCCACACCAAGTTAGTGATGTCGTATTTGGTACGTCGTTTTCGCGAGTCAGATATGTGGATGGAACCACTGCCGTTCTCATCATCTCTTTTCTTGAAGATGAAAATCACTACCGCAACAATGCCTCCAATGAAGACCACCACAGAAATCGTTATCAACACCTTCGTAGCCGTAGAAAGCTTGCTTCTTTTCCCAAAGCACCTCGTCTTAGTACACGACTTAGTACCCTTTTTACAACAGCACTTTCTTCTTTTCCCTGAGAGCTGCTCCCCATATTCTTGTGAGCCTGAAACTGAAGAATCAGAATCTGACTGCTCCTGATCACTAGTACCAGACGAGCTGCTCAGACTTATTTCCTCGAACGCAGGGGCGATCATCCTAGGTCCATTTTTAGGACGATGGCCTTCACGGCCTATGAACATCGTCATTTTTTTTGTGTATGTCTTCCGTGTGATAGGATAGAATCAATAGGATAAGAATTATGGACTCACCTTCCACCGAGATAAGCAAAAACTATCACTGTATTCAAGAAATCCAAGAAGAAGTAACACAATCATTCTTTTAATATGATGCTGATTCTACTTCTATTTGTGTTTCTTTTATCGAGTTTCTGTATGATGTTGACTATAAAAATCGTGGTTTTAGAAAATCGATCTAGCCACCTACAATAAACTACTCATCAAAGATGATCATTAATTATCTATGGTATTGGACATAGAGGTAAAAAAATCTTGATCTTCATTAATTATCACTTGTATTTCTAGTATCATTAATTATAGATAGGACAAGGCGAAACAGCACGACCTCAACTTGTAGCATCTACGCAGTGGCAGTGTAGAAGGACATACAGCTAGTAGATCATAAGCTACAGTACGACTAACCATTGACAACCTTCATTGATACTTACAGTGCTCCAAAAATACCTCTTCTGTCGTGTCGCCTGCCTTCAGGTGAAAGTGGAGCGAAAACGATGTTATCACATAGAACTTCTCTACTACGTCTAGGTCTAGGTCTACTTAGACAGTTCTACATAAGTAACGCTCACTAGACAGAATCTTCACACACACTACATTCTACTCATGGACCGAAATCACAGCACTGTTGAGGACAAGGACAGATCATTTACAGGTTGTTGTTCACTGCACATGCAACACTCTACTTCTACAGATAAACATCGACTCAAAATCAACACGGAAAGCATCATAGAAGATGATGAGGTTCTCCTTGTTCTCTCGCGACAGATGAAGAATGTACAACAACGAACAGATGAACGGGCGTGGCTGTGCCTGAGTCAAGGTGAAAGAGCTCGAGCGTGAGCTTCTGCTCGGGTAAAAAATAACTTCTGCTCACTTCTTCATCCCTCTTAGAGTGTAGAAGTACGTTTTCATTAGTCTACTAGGCCATCGGCGGGATCATGATACGTATCTAAATTTCCATGTGAAGCAGCATCCACTATTCTTCGACACATGTCTGATGTACTAGCGCTATTCTTCGACACATGTCTGGTGTAAGGCTTCTTCTACTGGTTGATATTCCCTACCATGCGTAGGAGCATTGTCGACTGGAGCGCCGTCGACCGTGGTAATCGTATCAGGTTCACCGCAATCGCCGTCGTGCCGAAAGAGGGACTTTAACAACCCATGAGGATGATCGCGGCAATCTAGTTCGATGCACATCCAAGGGTTTTTCGAGCCGCGCATCGCGCCGTGAAAGGATTAGAAGTGGGTGTACATCTTCACATCTACTCCTACAAGGAAAATTTGTATTTGACTAAACCCTAAACCCTAAACAAAGGTCTTTGATCCTACTCCTCCTAGGCGGTCATGATGATCTAGTAGAAAGATTGGTAGTAGATGAAGTTACTCACTATTCATCTACAAGAACGAGTTTAATCGTACGAGTTCACCAGCTGCCTCGTCATCGTCTAAGTACAAGTCCATAAAGAAGGTCCGTCGCTCCACATTTCCAGTGGACACCTGCTACGTCGATAACGAATTTGCTGCTATCCGGTCCCCCAGCAAGGTTAGCCACAGTATTTCGACACACCTGGTCGGGACATACTTAGAGGAGCTTACTTTTATTCACCTTGAGATTCATCCCAGGGCCCTTTTCCCCTTGAAAAGCGCCAGGATGAGATGAATTACAAGGAGGAAATGAATTGCTGTTGACCTTGAGGGTTACATTCAGGCAGTGCGTTGTGGGGGTTGCTAGTCCTAGGCATTGCTTAGACTGAGAGCTCCTTACATTCAAGCTCAAGGTCAAAGTACATACAGCTAGTCCGTTGCAGCAAATGGATTGAGAGTTCCTTCGTACTGACGCTAGGATGCTTCATGACGAACTGAATTACTGTAAGCCTTAACATAGAGAGCCTTTTGTGATGACAGCGTGAGACCTGGTAGGAAAAATCATACGCTTCAAGACTGACAAGGCTGAAAGGAGATAAAAGGAGCTGGGGTCGCCCTCGCCGCTCTTTTTTCGTTTTACCATGGACGACGAAGTAAAACTGGAGGGTGCTGAATAAGTGTGCTTTATCTTGAGCATCTTCAACGGAAAAACCGTAAACGATGTAGTGGAACAGTGTCGTCTTGAAGGTCGATTCCAAGTCCAATGATCCCAGGTATCTTCATCATGTTCCGCATTACCAAGGCTTGCTGCAGCAGAAGACGTAGTCCTGCTCGCGGACGAAGGCCCCAGGGCGCCAAAATCGCTGGAAAAGTCGGCACTATCGACGAGGTGACGCAACATTTTTGGTCTTAGCAGCTATTGCTATGTTTACGCATAACTCCTTTTTCGGTCACAAATCAGACACAAACGCGACGCGTTCTCTAGCAAGAACTCAGGAGGCACACATAAATTGTTATCAGCTACGAAGAAAATAGAATTCGATAAGATTAAGAAAGAACGTAGTCACATTTCAGAACAGTCAGATGCTATTTCATTCGAACACAATCAGACAGGCAAAACCATGTTCCTTATCTCCTGGTCAGGCAGATAAAAATACAGATGCGGGAGCTTGCTGGCCAGTCCGAAGGGGATTTACATGTTCTGTTTCACCGATGTAGTTATATGTCACAACATCCGATTACTTCTCACCTTATCTACCGTGCTGGTTTGACACCAGCATCACCGACTCAACCACTACAGAATGAAACTTTGAGCGTGATTGAGAAGAGCCTCCTGCAGCAAAGATCTTATGCAGCGAAACCGACACGACAGAAGTCCTCCTTATGTTAGGAGTAAAACCCATTATTGTTGGTGCCTTTTCTATTGATTCACTTCATTGCTCTAGTTTATGCCCCCTCGGTTATCTGAATGTTTTTATTTTCCGGAAGTCCAAGTGCAAGGACGATCCAAAAGCGGAAGCCAATATGCGTAAGAAATTCAGGTACATTTGGATTTAGTCTGTGATAGCGGATAAGATCTTATGAATGCGCGAAAGAAGAGGAGTAGGCGTAGTGAATAATCGTTGCAGGATGGAGGCTCGTCACAAAATAAACATAGTCGATACAGCACATAAGAAGTACATGCTGAAGAACTATCATCTCAATAAGAACTTTGAGATCGAATCATAGATTTCGTTCAATCGGAATGAAGCTCCTTCCTCATCACTCTCGCCAGAATGTGCACGTACGCGATGAGGGCCGGCGGTTTGAGGGTGCATTGACGATGATATGGACGTCATAGGAATCGTACTTTTCCAACTTTTTTGTTCGTCTGGGATGTTTGTCCGCCAGGATGATAGGACTGGCGGTCCTGGTGTTGTTGTACGGATAGAGGTAGCTGCAACAGCTGATGCGGTCGCTAGTCCAGATGTATGATTTTTAGTTTTACAAATACGAGGATAAGTCGTTGAAGAAGATGAGGCGTGTAGTCGTGCAGTATCCTTGTTCATGTCGCTTGCACAAGAAGAACTAGCCACTTCATGATGTTGACCTTCCTTCATGATTTCTGTTCTATTCATCTTCGGGAGTTCAACGGTATCAAGTTGATTTTTGTTCGTCCCAATATCAACATCGACCTCCTGTTCGTCTCCTACAATCCCAACATCTTCTTTTCGTTTCTTCAGGTTCACAGCAACCTCCACCTTTTTGTCTTGCTGCTGCTCTTCAGGTATAATCTTAAACGCAGGCAGTGCAATACACCCTGGAGGCAGCATCAGATGCCCTGCACGTAGGCGAACTCGGAAGTAGGGCGCCCCATCGGAAGAACGGGCACCATTTGAAGTTGCTGGTGTTTTTTGGACGATTTGGTTAGGCAGCGTCAACATCGTAGGCCTAGTATTGAAAGGATGTTGCAAACAACCAGGAGCAGGAATTAGGAACTGGGCTGCATCTGCACCTGCACCTGCACCTGCTGCTGCTCCTGCAGTTACAGCAGAAGTGGTACTAGTAGTGGTTGTAGTTTTACTCGCGGAACAAGTAGATAGGGTTGTAAGAGTACTCGTTTTTGCCTCGAAAGGTTTCGTCTTCTGACCTAATATCATGGCGCTGCAAGAACTAAAAGGCTTCTTGATGTTCGTAGAAGTAAGTGCTCGTCCTGAATGCTGCTCCACTTCAGTTCGTCCCGAGTCCGCGTGGTCAACCGATAAAGCCGGTGAATTCTTTTTATACTGTACTACTTGTTCGACAACCCGCCTTGCTTGAGGTCCTTGTTGATCCTGATGCCCGCCTCCACCTGCTCCACCAGTTGTCGTAGAGCCTGAAGTTCCGATATCTTTACGCGAACTGTTGTTAGAGGTAGGTTTTTGGTGTTCGTTTATCCCGCTTGTTATAGCTGTCCCCCTCAGGAGACCCATAACAAACGGTAAGAACAAAAGTACCTTTAACCTAACCTTAATGTTCTTGTTCTCGTTTTCTTTGTCCTCTGCTCCTTCTACGCCTTCCGAAATGCTGCTTCTCACCTGAAGATCTTCATCCTCATTAGTATCTATCGACACAATCAGCTTTGCTCCGTTCGGTCCACACGAGGAAGACCCCAAATCGCTCAAGGGCGAAGCACGCGTAGAACATGTACTGCTCACCCCTCCTCCCCGACCGACAAGTGTTGATTTTGATCCGTCACTTGTTGTTGAAGATTTTGAGCCGCCAAGGCCTAGTGTCGGTCTCGTCAAGGGCTGAATATCTACCGTCGTTCGCCGATTCTGATGTGACCTGGTCTCTACTATACCAGTAGTACTTCTTTGTTGAGACTTCAACCTCGTCTCCATGGTCGTCCTTCTTGGTACTTCAATAGTCGGCATCCGCATGCGCCGTAAACTGCTAAATATGGTAGTGCCGTTTCTGCGCCCAGCCTCAATTGTCCAAGGAGGACATATTTGAGGTGCTGCAATTTGCCGTGCACGCGTTTTTAATACCCCTCCAGCGTTTGCTATGGCAGAATCTGGAATTTCGTTTTGTACTAGAATCAAGGGTTAGTAGATATTCAAGCGTTGTAGTAGGAACTATCTTCTAAGAGTTGTAGTAGGAACTATCTAGTAGATGTTACACACATACGCGCACAGGAAGATCAACATCATGAAAAACTATGACATGGACATTCATCTTTATCCGATTAAAGCATTTACTAGCAACTTTACCCTTCTCCTGTCCGTCAGAACCTCCTCTCCTCGTCCCATCTACTTTTCGTGCCTTTCCCCCATTTCTCGTTTGGTCCTCGTTATCCTTAGGAATATCGGTCCGCTCATAATCAAGCTCTTCATGTTCTCCCTTATTATTTCTGCCACAGCTAGTTGTGCCCGTAGTGGCAGTAGTTGGCTGTTGAAGATGACCTTCTTGTTCACGATTCTTTCTACCAGCACCGGATGCCGCTGGAAACCTATCTCGCCACTTAGGTAGGTGTGGCCGCTTTATGTTGTCGAGAAAATTTTGAATATGCAAGTCTGGATCAAATGTGTTCGCTCTTATCTTCTTCTTGATGTCACCCTGAGGTGGTGGAGGAGGGGAAAAATAAGTTGTAGGTGCACGACCACGACCATCTAGTACCTGAATCTGTTGCGTTGCAGGATAGTGATTATCTTCTTCATCTTGCTGATGCTGAGGTAGTTGTTTCGTCTCGTGTTGAAGGTGGTCTCGTTGAGGGTCCTGCAGCTGGTCTCCTCCTTGTTTCTTCTGGACAGAAGTTCTATCTTCCTCCTCAGTATCTATCGTTCCTGAAGCATTTTCTTGATCCTCGTCTTGATCCGGTACTGCTTCTAGTTGACAGGTCTCGCGACCACGCGCATCCCACGCTCCGGAACAGAAAAGTGTGGTACGAACACTCCCAGTAGAATCCTTAGCTGCGGTCTTGTAAATGTCTACTGTTGCCCGCGAAGCCTCGTCTTCTACCAATGCTGGCGTCGGTTGTTGATGTAGTTGCTCATCATCATCTTCGACTGCATCAAGTACGTAGTCTACTACGAGTTTGTCTTGATCGCCTTCATGATCTAGTTGTCCCTGTGCTACAACTGCATGTGTTGGTAGGGGTTCTTGTTCAGCGACTAAGCCATGGTTTCTTGGGTTAACCTCGTCATTCAGGAGTCTCTGTGTCGATGTCTTGGAACATGCTGATTGTTCTTGTGGCTCAACCGCAAAAATCGGCATGTCGTCTATCTCCAACGTGTCATCGTATCTCGTCTGAGGACGAGGCTCATCTTTGACGATGTTCTTCTGGTCTTCGTGCTGCTCTTTACTAGCTTCGTCACTGTTTTGATTATCTACTCCGCGCTCCTCCAGCACCTTCATGATATTGGAAATAGGAGGACTATTCATCTGCTCTACGGAGGGTCCTCGGAGCCTTTTCCCATCCGCATCTTCGTCTTTCATGCCGGACGAAGAAAATAAACCACTCGAAGCTGTTTGCGATTAGAAGATGAAAAGAAATCATGTAATGACATTTACATTATTAAAAGATTTACTAAATGTATCTTTCAGCACTATGTTGAGGATGGAAGGGGACAAAGACGGCGTATTAGCTAGATGCAGAAGTTTAAGTCTTGATATTTCAACTAAGTATCTCTATTTTTTTTAATTGAGTGAATCCTTAGTGCTGGTAGTCCTATGCACGACTCAGAGGAGCGTCCAAAAACATATAAACCGCAGCTAAGATCATCAGTCGACTCCTCTGCCATAATTTCTCCCTGAAGAAGAAGATGCAGATTGCTGTAAGACGTTTGGAGCCACAAAATAGAGCTGCATTTTCGAAGCGTTCGATGATGGCTCCCCTGGCGAGCACCGCTTATTGACATCACCAGTGGAAGGCGGCGATGCACATGCAGCTACAGATCTCCTACAACTTCCGCGACCTCGCAACAGACGTTGCACACTACCTGCACTGCTGTTGATACTCCTGCGATCTGATGCTGGGTTGAGGAACATATTGTAGTTGTTCGTGATATTTATCGACGTGCTATCGTCCTTTCCCTTAGTTCGCTTGAGGACTTCCTTGGTACGGAGTAAGCCTGTTTTTTCAACCTTGTTTCCGTGGAGATCCCCGACAACAAGATTGCTAGTAGAATTATAGTTTGGCATGGTGGTGGTTGGTGGTGAAGTACATCGCTGAAGGACCCCATTCTGCCCCAGCATCAGGCTTGCTGGCGCTTGTCGTCTTCGTGCGGACGGCAAGGGCTTTTCATCTTCGTCACTACTGTCATTATTTGTTGTTACTTCTTCTTGATTTTTGATCTTAATTGAGCAAGCAGATGAAGATTCTTCCACTATGCTCTTGGAAGGTAGCACTTCAACTTCTCCTTGTTGATGGCTCTTCTCTACAACGAGTACGAGTTGCTTTTCTAGGGCATCATCAAGTAGCTCATTTGCATCTTGTTGCTCGTCTGGAGGTACTACTTTCGGTTCTGGTGTTGACACTTTCTGTTCGGAGGGAGGCCGCGGAGGAAGAGCAGAAAGTGAAAATCCTCGTATCGTCGGCTGAGGGACCAGATTCTTGGACTTTTTGCTTAGAAGAGGCCTTGTTTTGTGAATTACGCCGCCAGCAAGGAGCGGTGGCTTCGACGCAGGAGATGTTGATGTGTGATCTCGTCTTATCTTCTCATCTACTTGTTCCTCATTCTGCTCTACTCCAGGTTTGCGTCGCTTATGCACCTCCACGACCTCAGCTTTTTTTACATTTGAGAATTGGCACGTCGAAGAACTGTTATTTTCAGAAGAAGCGCCACTTACTGTCGTGGTGGCAATATCTTTACCTCCATGTCGTCCTTCAACATTCTTTTCAGCCACAGGCGCCCTCTCTTCAGCGCCTCTTCCTGCACAAGCAGCCGCTCCCCCATTCGAATCTTCGGACACCACACCGACCGACCCTGCCGTCTCCAAAACGTCCCCATCTCGAAAGCCAGCTAGTACTTGAGGAACATTCATCATCTCCGAAGTTGTACTATTGTAATCGAATAGAGAGCAAGCTTCGAGAGAGGAGGTGCGACTCTGTGCAGAGAAATAGGCATCGGGGGAGGATCCTGAGTGAAACAAAGAACTAGCAACTTGTTTCAAAGAAGTGCCAGAGCAAGAGAATGGAGGTATACTGGAATCCACTAAGTCGCTCTCAGAACCTTGTTCTTGTTGTTGTTGTTCATGATCTTTGCCTGGGAGTTGTCCGAGTGATTCATCTTGCTCTGCTGCGCCTGCAACTCCTGAAGCTCGTGAAGAAGAAGATGATAATGGTAATGCAGCTTTCATCGTTTTCGTGCTCTTGTCGTGGTCTCGCCTTATCAGGGCCGCCTCTCGCCCTGCAGCCCCCTCCTGGACCACGATAGCATCATTTACAACCAGCTTGTTCTCCGATTTTCTGATGTAGTTCTCTTCTTGTTCTCTTGTAACTCGTGCATGTGCTCGTGAATGATCTACTACAGCACTATTCTTGCTCGAAGATGACAGCCGAGCCCTCGCTCTATAGTACAGTTCCTTCCGGAGTTTAGCGCGACTGCGACGTGACAAGTGCGCCAGGCGTGCCCGTGTCTGACGCTGCATGGCCAACAATAGTTGTCTCTCTGATGTGCTGTCTTCGCTGCCTCGGTAAGTGCTCAAAAAACTGTTCGTCCGCACACTAGAAGGGACCTCAGACTCTGAAGGATGATAAGATGTTGACATAGCTTTCTCCTGGGTGGAATGTAAAAGGTTGTGCGCAGTCCTCCAAGAACCCGAGTTTTCTTTATCTTCAACATTTTCCACCTTTATATCTTCGTTGCCACGAACAGCACCAGGAGACGCAACAGTAAGTAGGTCATCAAATTGATGTGGCCCGCCACCAAGAGAAGTACTACCTCCATGTCCAGCATTACCTCCACCAGCAACACGGCATAGTCCTAGAGGAGTATTACTCTCCCTCATCTCTACTCCTGCTGTCGTCACCATCATCCGTTCCAATTGTGCTTCGAAAAGGCGATCTGCAATCGCCACAAGTGTCTCCTCTGCACGATGATGCGCACTAAGTAACGATGCCAGAACCTGTTGGGCATCAGACGTAGTGGTCGAATTACCTTCATCTCTCATCTCGCCTTGACTACTTCGATGCTCTTCTTCGGCTTCAATAGGCGGTGACCCATCACCAACATCTACAAGAATAGCTCCCGAAGCTGCGACACATGCTTCCCGTGATGCTGAGGGCTTGCTTCTTGCGCCCACAGTCTTGAGGGAGGGTGATACTTGTTCGTCTTGTTTGCCGATCGTGCTTATTGCAGCGCCAGCACAAGCCCCCGAAGAACTTGATTCATTCGTCGAGTTACCACGTTAGAGCCCTCCGCTATTCATCCCTGTGGAAATCCCTCAAGCATATGCGTCAGTGTCTCCCTTGCATTGGGGCGCATATGTTTGAGGGATGTCTACAGGCATATGGAGGATTAGGCGAAGCCGTAACCATGACTAGGACCAATTTTGTGTACACTTGCGAAGACTGCGCTCTCTGCTTCGGCTAGCTGAACCTTCAAGATTCCAGTCAGGACGTCCTGGCCTAGTGTCTCGAGTTTTCCTACATCCAAAAAGAAGTCCCGCAAAGCCCACGTCGTCGCTTCACACTTTTTCTCTCGTCTTTCGTGACTCTGATGTCCAGGTTCTTGTTCTTGGCCTTGCTTTTCTTCTTCTTCTTGTTTGGGTGAAGAAAGTACGATTAGAAGAGAGGACGAGATAGTTTCTCCTTGCTATCGTTAATATGCATCCTCAACATTCATGATTCATCTTTAATATTTCGAGGAACTCATAATTCTACCTAAACGGTGGCCCTTAAGATAAGATCCGCAACCTTGGTCAGAATTCGTTCTGGAGCTCTGATGCTATCTGCGTCTGGTAGCAGAGCAAAGCGGGAATTATCGGATTCCCCTAACGCATGGAGAACGAGATCTTCGCAGACACTTGTTGATGCCATCTTGTTCATCTGAGGGAGATTCGAGCAACTGGTTCTTAATGCTTTATTTCGTTGTTCTTGCCGATATCAACCATATGATCTCTAACCTTCTTCAATAAACTACTTACAAGATTATAGGGCGGGCATCCATCGTGCTTAGAAAATTTGCGACCATCATCATCGTCGTGTATCAAGATCAACAAACTGTTTAACTTGTCAAACCTTCGAGATGTTGTTCATTTCTCGTACATCATGCTATCCCTCTGAGAAACAGGTCACTGTTTCCATCAACCTACTCGAGATCCATCCTGTATTCGTCCAGTCTACTATCCTTACGGAACTACGGAAATGACGTTTGATCACCCACACACAAGCAGGTCAAAACGATTTGTCAAGCAGAACACAAAAAACCAAGGCGGCGAAGAGTAGCAGCTACAATTGAATGACCGCGAATATTATCACAAAATGGTCAAAAAGTCAGTGCAACATTCCTATCTCTGACTCACCACCTGATTGTGACTCTGACTCTTGATGCTACGTAAAAATGGGGATTTTACTGCAACCTCCTGGACACAGGTCGAGACTCTGCCCAGCTTCCCTCATGCCGTCTTGGCAAGGCTGGCAGATGCCGTGTTCACAAGGCCATGGTCGCTTTTCTTAGAGGTTAATCTCCTTCACAACACATGATTCTGATTGGTAGAAGTTGGTATTCTAAGTATTATGACATGTATCAGGAGCCTCTATGACAACATTGACATGATGAGACTCATCCTATTACACGATAGCACAGTTTCAGTTCTACTATTTCCTCCTCAAACTCGCACTTTGTTCACTATCAGAGCATATTAATTAATTAACCTGCTAAATTACCGATGAAGGGTGGACTAGATTGTAGGTTGTTTAATGTCACTCAACCTATTATTAGATTACGTCCTAGTCATAATGAATCGACTCCTCTGTGGTTTCGTCTGCCATGCACACGACACAGGTCCAGGGCTCCCGAAGCTTCTTCAGCAAGCCATGTTCTTGTACCTCAACAATGCATTTCGCTATTTCGCTCGGATACAGGATATCATAGTGTCCGGGTTTGAATAGGAGCGTAACGTCAGGCCAACAAGCTTTTTCATCCGCTCCAGCGGAGCTCGTTTCGGGGTAGTGGTATATCGTTGGCATTCCATTTTCCGCCAGATTTCGGTCCAATTGGAGAATGTGCGTCTGACATTGGAGGGCTTTATTAAAGCGCGGCACTCCTTGGTCATCATGACTCGTCTGAACGCAAGAGACTGATCCCCTTCAAGAAAGCTCTCCCCTTCGTTCCCTTCGTTTCTTTCCCCTGTTGGTTCTCTCAAGAAGGGGTCGCCTCTTCGATGATCTCAGTGACTCCAATCTAAATGGTGACCATTGAAAGTTGAGCCTTAACTTTCGGCGCCACGATCTGCACCACATCCATAGCCTCTACGCCGTCTTTTAAGACTTTGGGCTTAGAGGATGTCTTGTCTTCTTTCATAATAATAAGGTGATGTCTTGTCTTCTTTCATATATTTAATAGTAAAACCAGTTCCAGCACTAGCAAACTACGTAATGTTGAACTACTCCTGCGGAGCATTTTCACTTACGGCGCATTGGTTGAGTGATTGCTTCATCGATTGATGTACCTAGGATCCTTGAGGTAAACCAGCTCTGTTGACAGTATTGCCACCTCCACACCTTAACTTGTTCCAAGAACGCTTCAACTGATTCGTGGCCCAAAGCCATGGTTAACAATTCCGCAAGAGTCCCAAAGTCTTGAATTCTGTCGTTCTGGGTTTCGGTGACGCATTGACCCACAAACCTTCGAACCACCGAAACCAGGCATTTGTCCAACGACGAGTCAACCAAAAAGCGTTCATACAATGCGCGAAGATATTTGTCACATTCTTTGTTGCGTAGAAGTGGATGCTTGTTCAAATTTTCATTTGTGTCGTTTTGTCCGTTTTCCCCTGCACAAGAACTTTAGAATGTCGAAGTGGAGGTGGACGAGCAACTATAGACGATCGTCGTAAAGATGGCGATGTACATTCACATTGCGGCTAGTATCATTCGTTCTTTCATTCAAAATGATAGGAAGGCGTCGCCGATAAGTACGCGGTACATAATCTATGTGCTAAAAAATATAGGATCGACGGATACGGGTTCACTACTCAATACTGAAACCGTTGAAGTCCGATGAGGAGGGTCAGAATCTAAACCGAATTAGATTAGTACAACAAGCTTCTATTTGTTTCTCGTAGGCAAAAAAATTTCTGGTTCCATGATCGACAAGAGGGACCATACCTGCTCAATATTTCCGTTAAAGCGACGTGCAGCGTTTTATGCTCATCGGAGTTTTGGCTTTCCTCCAGTCTGCGCAGTAATCCTAAGGCAGCCTCTGGCCCACCACTCTCGAGGAACGCAAACCCTAGTGCGCGACAGCATTAGAAGCAGTTGTATAGCGCGACAGTACTTACTTTAGAACTACATTCCACTCATGTCATGTCATGCGGATCCGGATCCCAGTAGGTGCACATAATAGTAACAATTTCCGTCTCCACGAATACGGCGAAAACCGGAATAGGAATTCTTCATCGTCCGAAGCTTGCGCAGAATCTCGGAATTTTGATACTCTGTCGATAGTTAGAGGGAAACGGAGCTAATAAGTAAGGGTTAATGATACCTAGAGGGAAACGGAAGTAACTTTGATGAGTGAGTCTGAGTAAGCAGCAGTAGGTAGTACGTACATAGTTCTACTACTTCATGCAGATATTAATACCACAGTTACGCATCTGAGTGTACTAAGGCAATCTAACGCTAACCCGAGTAGGGACTTTTAGGTATTGGGTGGAACTATAGACACTCACTAGATCATAATTTGAATGTTTTAAATAATATGTTACTCAAAACAGGACAGTCACAGTAGCCTAATATGTTACTCAAAACAGGATAGTAGCCTTAATCTAGAACCTCAAGAGGCTCAAAGAAACCGAGCTGCTTTGATCGAGTCGTTATCATTTTCTCCTCGTGTATGCAGTAGGGGATTTCAAGCGGATGTGTTCCTGTGCGTTCGGCAACCGCTCGGATGATCCTGAGCGGAAGCAACAAGATTCAAGCGTCGGAATCGATCGAGAATAAGGCGCTTCGAGCCCTATGAGTATGACCGCATTTTGGTTTTGGGCGAAAAACTCTATTCATCCTATAGTCAAGATCTGCAATATTTTCATTTTGCTGAGCCTAGTCCTGGACTTGCTAGTTGTTAGTGGCTATTATTTTATGTCAAGTGGTATTTTTAGTGGTAGTAGTGCTTAGCCTAGTCTTTGCCTTTGGATTTGTCAGCGCCATCTACTTTCGGTTTCTCTACGATCTAAGAGGACGAGCGCCGCTAGGATCCGATCTCCATCTTCATCTTCCACCGCATAGGTGTCTTCGCAACATATCAGACGGCGCTGCAATGTGACTTACAGAAACAATGCAATACAATGCATATCGCACGGAGTTCAGCGCAGACTGCCATGATAGTGCTCATTTAAGCTTGAGGTTCTCGCTAGTGTGCTTGTAGGCTGCTTTTTCTCGAGACTTGTGTCACTTTCTCATCTCTACAGGATCTTCTTTTTTTTCACCTCTTGTAGACTAAAGTACCACGCGCTTGACGTGAGTGAGAATTTCTTTTGTGCTGGGCGAAGCCCTTCATTCTTCTCTCATAAACCTGTTGGGGTCACTCCACTTCCGTAGAGCAAGAAAAAGAAAGACAAAGAGTACTAGATTCAGACTCTGGGGGTCTCGGCCAATTCTTTTTTGTGTCCTGGGGCTGCTAGAAGAGAGCTACGCGCCATGACATAGGACTAGCTAGCGCTCAGTTGTAGATTCAGATTCAGATTCAGATTCAGAGGGGGTCCTGCCTCAGCCCTGCGCATTGAGCACCGGATCGGCAGAAATTAAACTTGAGTCCCTCTGAACTCGCTGGCCGGTAGCTCCCCTACATGTAGAAGTAGAACACGTAAATACATAATATGATGACTCACTCTGAACGAGTGCTTT